AAGTCTATAGATACAAAAATTAAACTGGGGCTCTTGTCCATCCAGTGGAAATCAATCTCTTTATTTGGGAGAAAATTGATCTTTTCATTTCAATGCATTCTCATTGATGTCATTTTTTTAGGAATTGGAAAAAATAACTTGGAAGTATAAAAATTGAAAGAAAAAGCTGAGGGTAGGTATGTGGTAGGGGAATGGTATTAGGTACTCTCCAAGACTGGGTATTTTATATATGATTTTTAAAAGAAACCCTTGAGCACTGCGTCTCTCTAAATCTCTTTACCCCTGGTTGGAGGGGTGAAGCTAAAATCTGAGTTGGAGGAGAAATGGCAAACAAACCCTCCTTTGTAAACTGTTCTGCAGCATTGGGCACAAAGCGAAGCAAGCTTGAAACTGGGAGAAGAGATGAAAATAAACCATAAGCGTGACAGAAATAGGAACACTTTTCTCAGTGTCTTCTTTTCTAGCATAATATTTACATCGTGTCAGCTGACAACAAGGATAAGCATTTTCAAAACCTGGAGGCCTACAAAGAATGGGGTGGCTTGTGTGGACTTGAATCTGGGAGTGAGAATGTTGCCTATGTTCAGATACTTCTGATGTTGAAAGATGCTTCAAGAAGTTACGTTTGAAAGAAGATACAAATCAGAACCTTTGCTGGCATGGCAGTGGAATATTTTGACTTTATCTTCTCTTTCAGTGAAGTGGGACTGATGGTTCCTTCTTTTAAAAAAAAAAAATTCTCTTCCTTGTAGAGTCCCCAGGTGCGTGTAATTCACTGGTGAAAATGACTTGTGCAACAGTTTCGTTTGGTCTCTGCAGGAAGTGAGGGTCATGGAGTGAAACTGCAGGTGTCTGTTGGTCTGGCTGGAGCTGGACTTTGCCTGACTCAGGGACTGTTTCGGCAATACTAGGTTTTTAATCCATAAAGTAAACAAACAAGGAGGACTTGGGTTAGCAACCATGCAGTCACTGCTTTGAACTTTGAGAAAGTGTACTGCAGCTCACGCTGTAGTTACAGGAAGCCAAGGCAGAACTTTTTTTTTTTTCCCTGCTTTTAACTGAGAAGCTTCTTGAGGATCTCTGTACCCTTCCCACTGGGGGATCCTATTGCGCCACGGTGCTAGTTAAGAGAAATCCCAAGACAGGTTTAACAGGAACGTCTGAACATCTGAGTGCTTCCTGCTTGTCCTAACCCCTTCTGGGGAAGCAAGAAGCGTTTGGAGGTGGGCTTCAAGGCTGGCTGACCAGCGTGCTGGGGAGGAACGAGGAGTCCAGCCACATCATGCTGCTTGTCGCTCTTGCTGCAAGCACTGAAGAGGTACCATGAAACAGGTTGCTTGTGTTTCCTTAGCTGAGTCAGGGAGTGCTTTTTTCAGTTCTAAGAATTTTGTGGTATGACAGATCTACCTGTTAAACTGACTGCTTCCATCGTAGGATAGCTTCTGAAGTGAACCTGCCAAGTCAAATGTTCAGTTCTGTGACCTGTGACTCTTCATTTTTCTCTTCAATGTGTTGAGTTCGAGACATTCTGTTCTTTCTAATCTTCAGTGATCAAAAGGAGCGTGACTTCTTGCAGTTTGCGGAGTAGGTTGTGTGCAGTGATTTAGTGATCCTTGAAACAGGTATATGAGATGAAGATTAAATGTTAGGAAACAAAAGGGTGACTTCACTTATGAATACTGCATTAGTGTAATGCTCCGCTAATGCCTGGTGTTACCTTAAAGCTCTGAAGGGAAAAAGCTGGTGCTGAATGACTGACAAAGCTTTTTAAGAAGCGTAATCTAATGTTTTATTTTGGGGATTAAAATTGGTGTTTTGGGGGGAACGCAGTCTTCCCACGCATGTTGTATGGTCTTAAATGAATACTGATGTATGCTTTGTATCTTCAGGTTGGGGATGTGCATGTTTTTCAGAGATGTACATGCATCTGTTGGGAATCAGGAAGGAACAGTCATCTTGTAAGATTTCATAAATAAGGCTTAAGCTCTAACTCTTCCGTCAATAGAATAATAAGTCTATCATGCCTTATACTTCTGCTATTAGTAAAAATTGTGTGAGCCTGGGAGATCTATGATCTCTGCTCATTAAAAGAGAAGATTATTTTTTCATTGCTTTTGATATGGAGGGCAACAGTTAGCATATGATTTCTTGTTTTCCCCCATCCATTTTCTGGGAACACAACAGAAATCATTGCTTGGGCTGTGATGCTTGCAATTAAATCAAGAATCACGCAGGAGCAAAACGTCACCATATCTATCCCCCAGTAATTTTACTTAATGAAACTCAAACTGCTTTTTCTATGAAATAAGGCTTTTTGGAGCAGAGCATATAAAAGCTTGTTTTTCTTGCTGGTCTTCTGATGTTAGCCATTGGAAATGGACTGCTCTCTGTAACCTGTTTAATTAGAGGGCAGATATGTAGGAGGTGAACATAAAGGAACCTGCTGGATGATGACCAGCCTAATTGGAGCTAGGCTTCTTTGCTTCTGGAATCAGATCTCATTAAAACCAGGAAAGCAACAATAATAAACTTGAAACAGGCATCAAGTAGGCTGGTTTTTCCTTTGTCCTCTCAAGCTTGATTTTAATTTTTTTTTTACTGTAGCTGGTTCCTGTAAACTTAATGATTCATAACAGGCGATATTTGTTTTGATCAGAATACACATACAGTGTGAACTTAAACAGGGGGCAGTTGTAGCATGCTCTCACAGATTCCTCCCTAGTGAGCTTGCTCTTACAATTTGAGATTTGGACTGTGTGTGAAGACCAGGTTTTGTTCCTTCCTTTCAAATGCTCACCCATGGTTCCAAAAACCTGGAAAAACTTTTTCTGCTTGGAATTTGGATTTGAATACAGAAGAGTACAAGCCTTACATAGAAATTAAATGTTAATAGTGAAATGTCTCTTTGCCTTGTTCTTGGAAACAGCTGAACTGAGGAAAGAGCTTCTTTGTGTGCTTGTGTGGCTGTGATAAGACATCAGCACGTTTCTGTACCGTTACATGCATATGCATGCAGATTTGACCAGTCTAAAGAAATAGTTATGCAAGGGTACTACTTTCTAGGTATTATTTAATTACCAATGGCATAAGACTTCTGAACACTGAAGTAGCAAAGGTTTAAGTCTAGCTGTATCTCCATTTATCTGTGTGTAGATGTGACACTACAGCAGAAGTGTTTTTTCTGTATTGTCATTGAAGTCCTGGGTCTTATGCTTGTCTTTAGCAGACAGGGAAAGGAATGTGTCCAGATGAGTATGCATGGAAGTTGAAATGCTCTCCTACTCTAGTATGACTGATTTAACATCTGCTCTGAAAGTCTTAGTGATAGTCTTAGTTTTGACAAGCACCATAATGAAGTTGTTGCCCAGCTGTTGGCTTAAGCATCCCCTTCTCTTAGGAAAGCAGAACTTCTTGTCAGAATAAGAGGGAGGAAAAAAGCATCAGAAACCATCACTTGTCTTCTCCAGGTTGTTGCTTCTGCAGGTGGGGGAGTTTGCTTTGCATGTAGTTTCTCATGCACTTAACAGGGATTTAGAAAAAGCCAACCAGTGGCGGTGAATTCTAGAGACGCCACTGAGAAGTTAATTTAGAAATACCTCTTGAATACTTTTTGAATATTTTGGGATTAATTGTATGAATCTTATCTGGCACCAATTAATTAGCCATTTTGTTGTTAGGCTGTAAGAAGTGTAGATAGAATATCAGTAGGATTTATGTGCTGACCATGTTAAATACCTTTCTTTAAAAAAGACACAAACATCAAACCAAAAGCTTCCAGACTGTCTTGAGTTTAGGTTCTTTCCTATAAAGAGATGAATTATTAAACAAGCTTTTCCTAAACAGCCTGTTTTCTCCTAAACAAGGTCTATGACAGAACGGGGAGATGGGCAGCTCCAGTTACCATCCTAATCACAGCACAGCATTACAGCAGCAGCCTGTTTTGGCATGCAGGTGTGAGGTGGTGGTGGTAATGTTGGGCTCTCCTCTTAAAGAAGCAATAAAAAAAAATTAGCAGGTAGACAGCGAACACTTTGTATATTATTTCTTTTGTAATGGGAATTGAACAGAATAAAAACTGTATGCTACAACTACAAGCAATATCACAGAACTTTAAAGACAAAACTTGGCTATTGATTCAACTAGAACTACTTTGGCTCTGCAGAGGTGAACTACACTTTCTTTCTCTGCAGAGCGTAGTATAGAAAATGGCTTTCACTTACCTAGTGAAAACTTTAATGGGTGCCTTTAACTGATGGGTTTTCCTGAATTGATAAATACAGCCTGAAATAAATCCTGCACAATGAGTCTTGCTACTCATTTCTGTTTAAAACATCTATTTAGACCCCTTTCTATGTAAACCAATGGAAAAATACAGATCGCTCATACTTTATTCTACATATAGGTTACCGTAACTAAGAATCTAATCCAGAAGTATTTCTCAGTTCTCTGAAAATCCAGATGTTGTTTAGTGGGTACTACAACAGCTGTGGTTGACATACTTCTAGTTCCAAGGATATTTAATTGAGCTATCCGTGAGTGAATTTCCTAGATAATCTGATTTTATGCCTTACAAGATGAAATCCTGTAGTGGCTTTCTCTTTTGTCTCATCACCTCAACTAACAAGATTGGCTGACCAATCTATATGGATAAACAGTGTTAATATACAGTAACTGTATTGTCAATCAGGAGTGATTATTTTGTACAAAATGCCCTGGAGTGATAAACCTCGGAATTGCTGCACATGTGGATTAGTCTTAGTTCTGACAACTGAAGTGAGAGCTGTGATGATTAAAGGCTGTGCATCTTCTCCTTTTAAAAAAGAAAAAGCCTAACCTGTAGCTTGATAAGTCTAATCTTGAATTATTTTACAGTATCACCTTTAGTTTCTTTTTATATGTATATGTAAAATGGATGTAAACATATATAATAAGCCTTTCTAAGATTTGTTCATTGTCACATTAATAGTTCTGAAGGTCCTGAATATTTTTTTTTTTTGCAGATGATGCAGCTCTAGAGAAAAAGTTGTCTCCACAACTCGCTTCACAGTATCTTTCAGCACAATGGACTCATCTTAAGAATTTTACCAGTAATCAAAAACCATCTAGGAACAAGAACACTGGACTTTGAGGAGCAAGAGACTTCAAAGAGAGCCTGGAAAACAGTCACTGAAACTCACCTGGTTTGGGCTGTACAGCTTGGGAATGAATACCATTGAGACAGCGAAGCTTGAAGAACATATGGAGGGTCAAAACAATGATGCTTCTAATGGCTACACCCGACCTACTCTCTCAGTCAGTGAGGAGAACAAAAATGGCAATAGCAAACCCAAGGGCTTGTCCAATGGCTTGCGAAAAACAGCAAAGAAATATCCTGATTACATCCAGATTGCTATGCCTGCTGAGACAAGGAACAAATTTCCTCTGGAATGGTGGAAAACAGGCATTGCCTTTGTCTATGCTCTCTTCAACTTGATTCTAACAACTGTCATGATCACTGTGGTCCATGAGAGAGTACCTCCGAAGGAGCTTAGCCCTCCCTTGCCTGATAAATTTTTTGATTATGTTGATCGTGTGAAATGGGCTTTTTCCGTATCCGAAATAAACGGAATGATACTAGTTGGATTATGGATATTCCAGTGGTTATTTCTTAGATATAAGTAAGTAACTGTTTTTTTCTCTGTTTCCAAAGCGTTGGTTTCTGTCACTTAACTTGGGTAGTAGAAGAAAGCTTACAGTACGATCTGTAGTTTTATGGTTGAAAAGACTCTCAGGTCTGGCAGAAAATGATGAAGGGATGGCTATTAGAAAATGCTCTGGTGTCCATACTGGGTACAGAGATGTGGCTTTCTTCTGTCTATCATGTAGTGTTTTTGAATTGGAATTTGATATGCACTTTCACTCCTCAAATTTACTATGGGATTGGGCATTCCAGAGTTGTGATTACTGAAATGGCTACATTTAAACAGGAAATCAGTGATACTTTAAAAAAAAAACAAAAAAAAAAAACAAAAAAACTTTTATGCATCTGAGGAAGAAGCCACTGTCTTCTACAGCTGGGCTAGAAGCTTGTTCTCTTGTCTTGATTTGTTTAAGATAAACATGTACTTCACTTCCAAATATGAGAAAAGTCACTGAGTCAAGGGAAACTACCTGACAGCATGCCCGAATTTCGTGCCTAAATCAGACTGAGACCATGTGAAGATAGCTTTGCTGGGACCTTTGTGGTAGTTGCTGTATCCTACTATGATCAAGGAAGGCTTTTTAGTATTTGACTTAAAGTAGTGCTGTAGAGAAGTGTTGAGGCAAGGAGCAGTGGGTGGAGCTGCTCTTTAATTCTGTGTATTTAGCTATCTAATGAAGCTAGAGCTCTGTAACTCTTACGTGTGTATCCTGCATGTGACCTTTGTACATAATCCTTTTTTCCCTCTTCCCTTCCTTTCAGATCAATAGTGGGACGCAGGTTTTTTTTTATAATAGGAACTTTGTACCTGTACCGCTGTATTACTATGTATGTTACAACTTTACCTGTGCCTGGAATGCATTTTCAGTGTGCGCCAAAGGTAAGAGCTGTTACTTCCTAATTCTTGTCTTAATCTCTGCCTGAGTCATTATGGCTCATTAAAGCAAATACTAAAGTGAATTTGTCACCTTTTTGGGTAGGATCTCATCAACCTTAAACATGTCTATTCAGTTCTATGCTTTCCAGTTGGGAGAACTTGACTTAAATAGTTCATCCACTATGTTCTTTTGTTACGGAAGAAAGCTTCATTTACATCACTGTTGTAGAGTCCCTCAACTATTTTGCTTTAATAGCTTGCAGGATTACTTTGCCTGCAGGCTTTATCAAAGGGTGGGAAGAGGCAAACAAAGGGAATCTTTAACATCCTTTCAGCAAAGTCACTTTGCTGCCATTGAAACAAGAGGGTTTACTCAAACTCTGAGAAACTTGATAGCTCTTCATGATCTTTTTGTCCATGTGAATATTTCTCTGATTTTGAAAAACGAAAAAATCCCTTTCTTTATGATACTATTGGTTGGAACTAGATGATCTTTCAGGTCTCTTTCAGTCCGAGACATTATATCATTTTTTTTTCCCCTAGAATTAACCTTCACTTTAGGTGAAACTGAGTAAAAGCAAGTATTTGCCAAACAGTTGTCTGAAATAAAGACCTGATCTGAATGCTTTTTTTTTTTTTTTTAAAAGCCTCTAAATCTGAGTAAGTTGTGACTGAGATTGTAACTCAAACAACTTCATATTTACTAAGTTTAGAGATTTTTTTTGGGGGGGGAGAACACAAAGAAAATAAAGATAAATGTGTCCTTTTTCTTCCTGTCTCCCCCAACTCAATGTAAGTTTGCATAAGAATTTTATCAACAAGTGTTTTCAGGTAATTTACACTCTATCTTAATTTTTGTTTTACTTTTTTTTTTTTTGGTGGTCTAGTTAAATGGAGATTCTCAGGCAAAGTTGCAGAGGATCCTGCGACTGATCTCTGGTGGTGGTCTGTCCATAACTGGATCTCACATCCTCTGTGGAGACTTCCTGTTTAGTGGTCACACTGTAGTGCTAACATTGATCTACCTGTTCATCAAAGAGTGTAAGTTATGGTGTATTTAATACATTCCGGTTTGTATCTGTTGCACTGGGAAAGCATGTGATAGGAGTACATGTAAAACTACCCTCTAAAAGTTACTGAACAACTCCACACAGATTGTGTGCTTAGATGCTTGAAAATACGAGTCATGACTTTGCAGAATGAAAATGGAACATAGGTATAGTAAAAGTGGTGTGGATTTTTAGGGCTTGATGTGACTAGACGGTTCACTTCTAGCTTTATATGAAGTGATTGGTTGAAGCAAGCCAGCATTTAATTATTCATTGATAGGTTACTCAAATTTTGGCTAAAACACACTGCTGACTGCTGTAGGTTTGAAGCGATTTTTGTGGCTTGAACGTACAGTCATTGCACACTGCTTCTACGTACAGAAGCAATGTTCTTCTAAGCATGTAGTATGTTTGTTACATCAAACAGTGGAAAGTGATGTGGGTTTTTTTTACTCCTCGGATGTCTTCTTCTAGAGTCTCTTCCTTGGGACTTCAAATTTAATAAGAGTTTGGTAAGCGCACAGGAGATAATAGGGTTACAGCTTCCCCTTCTGCTTTATAGTGTTATTGGGTGTGGGGAGGGTGAGGAATCTCTCTGTGCTGCCCACACAGCATCAGCTGAAGTTCTGCAGAACTGATTGCCAGCTTTGGAGTCTGATATATGGTAAGCAGTGCTTCTGTCCTTGTAACTTGTCTGCTTATAAATGAGGAGTGAGGAGTTTCCTTTTCAGTTGGCATGTTTGGAACTGGAATCTTCTTAGTGTTACATCCCAAACTACGCAAATGCTAGTGTAGCTCATGGAAATGTATGACTTTTCACTGAAACAAATAGGACTAGCTAGCATCAGTTGAATGCCTCCCTCTGTTAAAATGCTGAGGGAGAGGTGTGTCGCAATGCTGCGTTCTGCCTTCAAAAACATCTGAAAATGCCTCTTTAATATTGTAAACCTAAAACCGTCTTGCACCTGCAGATTTCATAAGCTTTTATAATAGAGGTTTAAGATAACTAATTCGTCTCCTGACTCTTAGGCCTTGGTCATCTGTGTAAAGTGAATAGTACTGAGGGAATGGCATATGCAACTCATCAAAATTACCAGTAAAGTATTAGGAAAAGGGCGTAAAACCAAAATTATGTCTTAGTTTGTGGCTGTAACTGCAGCTTAATGCTGTTCACATACTCTTCAGTGTATTTAGTACAAGGACAGATGCAGGTAACACATTATTTAGTGATAGTGTAATTCTTGCCCTTTTATCACAAAGGGCTGGAAGACTTGTATCATACAGATTCTTGTAATGAGTCTTTTGCTGCCTAATTATTAAGCACACATTTCTGTGGTGGTGTGCTCTATAACTGATTCTCTCTCGATGAGATGCTCTCTCATTCTTCTGATATGAGAAACTTCAGTATCAGATGCATTATGAGGTTTTTATTTCCAGTTTAGTGGATTTGTTTGCATTTTTAATCCTTTGTTGTTGCCTCATTTATTTCCCTCATACTCCAACTTTTTTGCCTAGAATAGTAATTTGTATTTCTAGCCTTGTGCGTATTGCTTGGGGTTGGTTTCAACTTCTTGAAATGACTTGGCTTCCGATTCTTTTTTTAACCAGTAAGTATGAATTTGTAATGTTTAGTGGAACGTGAAAGCTTACTTTCCTGGCATATGCACCAAAATTGAAGTCTTACAGCCGCTGTTCTGCACAGGCCTATATCAAACTAGCTGGGTAGGTTTGAGATCAGTAACTTGTCTGCTGGTGTGTAAAATTAAAAGCTGACCATAGTTCCACAAGGGAAAGGGTGCCAAAACCTCCCACTGCAAGTGAAATGAAGCCTGTTAGCCCGTCAGAAGTTATGAATGGTCTTTGTGACACCCAAGACATTTTTCAATGGGGAGAGAAAGCGAAGGGAACTGTGCTGCTGAAGTGGCTTAAATACATTTTGAAGAATAGCTTTGCTCCCACTTAGACTTTTTTGTTAAGATGAGTAAATTTGCACTGTTCTTCCCCATACAGTGTAGTGTTTTGCAGAGTAGAGATCTCAGTGAAGTAGCTAAAACCTAGGAGCTTAAAGTACATGTGTCTTTTTCCTGTTTCATCTGATTTTGTGCTCAGTTTACGTCAGTTCTAGACATTGGACTTGAATGAAAGCTACCTCAAGTATAGAATAAAGAACGGAAGATTCAGAGCAGCCAAGTAAAATAACTTTTTATAGGATACGTGGAAAATAAAATTGGTGTTAACTGGAAAATTTAAATTGACTACAAAACAGGTGATGGTCTGTCTGCCTCTAGTGGCAGTTGGTATTTGGTTTGCTTGGGTTCATCATAAATGTTTTATGCTTTAAAATTTAGTAGTCTTATATCATTTTTTTTAATTTCCTACTTAACCCACTGTGGATTGCTGTAGTAATATGTTTGCTTTTGTATTCCCTTTACCTCCCTGTTCTTACAGATTCACCACGTCATTTCTGGTGGTACCACTTAATCTGCTGGCTGATGAGTGCTGCTGGCATAATTTGTATACTTGTTGCTCATGAACACTACACTGTAGATGTCGTCATTGCTTACTACATCACCACACGGCTCTTCTGGTGGTACCACTCAATGGCTAATGAAAAGGTGAGTCACAAATAAGTTTAGAATCAATGTATTGCCTGCATTTGTTAATTCTGCTCACTGGCCAAAATTAGTTCTTAATTTTGAAATAAAAATTAGAAGGTCAGTATTGAAGTTTTAATTGAGTTTGTCAAGGAGCTTGACTTTACTATGGTTTAAGTAAATGTTTAATGCTTTGATAATCTCTTCTTAATCTGGGGTTTAAGTTCTAAAAAACAATTCTGATATCTTGGCATAAAAACACTTTTTTTTGAACTTCAATGTTTTGTTGCTGTTGTGGATGTGCAGAATAGCCCTTGATTATGTAAGTTTATGAATCAACGGTAGATAATTTAGGTTGCTCTAGGTAAATGGTATTTCTCACCATCTTGAAATTCTATTGGCAGTTCTGCTGTAAATGTCATTTGAAAGTATATTATTCGAAGATATTTTCATTTACTTCAGTGTTTTCAAGTAGGAACATAAAAGAGCTTGAGAACTGACATTTTATTCTCGTTTTTAACTACTAGTCATTAATGGAAACATGACATGCCTGAAAAGACTCTCCTTCAAAAAGACTTGAGTGCTTTATCTCCCTGGAGTGCTTAGAGTATCCCTTTCTGTAGGGTGCTCAGTTTGTAGTATATGTTTGTACTGTAGCCTACTTGAGTACTCATCAGTCTTTTTTCCATGCTAAATGCAATGTATTTACCTGCATTTTTGCAAGACAACATGCCTTTGCAGACATGCATGTGAATATTGCTTCTTTTGGTCTTAAATGGTTATTAGTGCTTTAAACTGATTGTCTCTTTGTGTTCTTTTTCTCCTTACCTACTTTTGTCAATACAGACTCTGAAGGTCTCTTCGCAGACGAACTTTCTTTCTCGAGCATGGTGGTACCCAATATTTTATTTCTTCGAGAAGAACGTGCAAGGCTCTGTCCCTTGCAGCTTCTCCTGGCCAATATCTTGGCCTCCTAGCTGCTTCAAATCTTCATGCAAAAAGTATTCACGGGTTCAGAAGATGGGAGAAGACAATGAAAAATCTACTTGAAGAAAAGCATCTGCTCTTTTTTTTTTTTTACCAAAACGTTAATGCTGTAACCAAAGTTCTTAAGAGGACTATGCTAACTGAAGAAGTGGACCAAACTTCTGTGCAATTGATTGGAAAGACAATTGTAGATGAATATATTGTTGTTTCGTAATGTTTTCCTATCATCATACTGTACAGACCTATTCTACTCTTCAGTGCTAGTAGAATGCACCACTGATGGGACTTTTCCTGAAAGAAAATGGAGCAGGACTTTGCTTTACTAATGAGATAGAGGTGCCAAAGACCCCATTAACACTTTTGTTACTAACTATTGCTCATCCACAGAAGCACCCAAAAATGTCATCTTCAGAGATCTGGAGTGTAAGGGCAGACATGCTAAGCTGTAAAAGCACGATATCAGTGTATTGAAGTACACAAATAATAATACAATTGTGGGAAGTGGTTTGTTGCACTATCCTTGCTAATGAAGGTAAGACCTTTTACGTGACTAGTAGAGCTGGAGGCAAGTCTTGAATATTTTCTACATGCTGTGGGCATGAATATCTTATGACCCTAAAATACTACTACCCCTACTATCTTCCATATACTCTACTATATATCAATTTTTACATTTTTATTAATATTTTATATTTAAACTGTTGTGCTACTGGATAGCTTTGCAAATTAGGAATAGCTGCTACCATCAGAGCTCAAGGAGCCTAAAACATTATTTTTTAAAAAGGACACAATTTCAAAGTCTAAGTCTCTATCTGCAGTTTGGCCTTGTCTATAGAGCTATACAGTGACTGTTGGTGTATGTATTTGCATATACACAAAAGCACACACTGTGTAGTTAAACATGTTAACCAAAACTACTCAGCTGGAGAGTGATCGTACTGTTGATAATTCAGGCAAAGTCCTGTTGATCTCACCTGCTTGAGAGACCGGGTTTGAAATGGGGCTATATTTAAAGTGAACTTTTAATTTTAGTAGCTATTTTCTGCTGAAACTATGTAGCAAGTTTGCTTGGGAGTCATAGTTCTGCATCAAACTTATTTTTTTTTTTACCTGTTGGCACATATTTCTGTGACTTAATTGGAGAAAAAAAAACCAACGAACTAAATAAAAAACAACAGTAGCATTTCTTCAATTACTACCTAAAAACATTTCATAATAAACTTCACTGGGGTATAACTCATGCAAATTCTGTGGTTTTCCCCCTGGGGTTTTAGTCAAACTAAAATGGGTGTATGAGCCAGTTGGCTGAGAATGTAGGAAACTACCATGGCGTGAACATGTAACAAAAATACAAATTGACAGCTACCTGGTTCTTGTTGCTTTTTTGTTTTGTTGGGGGAAAAAAAAGTAGGAAATTGGCATGCCATGCTTAACAACCCATTGTCTGTATTCATTTCTGCAGTTAACTCAGTTTCATTTCCAAGTCTTCAGTTAATCCTGATAGCAAAGCAAAAACTGCATTAAGAGTTGAGGTGGAAATGGTGTTATTTTAAGAATGTCTTGAACTGAGTAACAAGTGTGAACATAGTTTAAATAATGACAACTTCTTTAAAAAGAGTCCAGTTAAAGTATTAAAATGCAATACAGAGTATTCAAATACAATTTTTTTAGTTAAGGGGATCAATAAGTTGTATATGAGAATTAATGTGCATTTCAAATATTTTTGTGCGTTATTGAAGTAAAATACAATAAACAATGTTCCTTACAATATATTCTTGGCAAAACTTAGCTAAGAAAGAAATTCTGCTGTTTTGGTTTTATTTTAAATAAGCTTCTCAGAATTTTCTAACATGCCCCTGGAAGTTATGTGTGTATGGACATACCTACGCAGTCATTTGATTGCTCCTTATAGATCTTGAGCTGCTAAAAGGCTGGAATCAAAACACTTGCATAAAAGTCCTTTATTGTACTTAGTTCAATGACAGTCTGTAAATCTCTCAAGATGCTTGTTGGATCACTATAACTTCATAGAGCATAATATCTTTTTGAAACTGAACTCTAGGCTTTGATATCTCAAATATGTTCATGATCAGCCACTACTAGTAATACTATCTTCTAGAAAATCGTGAATGAATTTCACTAGTGTTAACCATGCCTTGAAAATAATACGATGCAAACGTTCCAATAAGGAGCTTAAACAGTGGCTTTCATCTGGTGGCTGAATAATAAAATGCTTTGATAACAGGTAACTAATCATCTGCATAGCCATTACTATATCTCTGAGTTTTCTGTAAAATATCTGCTGAGTAGAATTTCTTCATGCAGGGTTAGGTTTCTTTTTTTGCACAGGAAACTCCTATTGATGGAAGGAGAAAACATAATACAATGAAAAGGTTTTGCTTTTATTGGTCAATGTGAGCTTTCAGTCTGCTGCTCAATCTGATAGAAGCTTCTATGGTAATGCAGAAGGAAAGTAAGTGGCAGCCCTAGCGCAAAATACTTGGTTCCTGTTCTGGCTCAATTCCACCTTAAGTGCTCAACTTTTCTCCACTGTATCAAACACCTCACAAGGGTGTGTGTTTACTTTACAAAAAAAAAAAAAATCCTCTATGGCTTTAAATTGTTCTTGCAAACTTAACACAGATGTGCTTGAAGACTTTTGGGGCCTATATATATGGTGATGAAATGGGGTAAGTAATGCTACATGGTAGTGCTTACTGCTGTAGTAGTCTATCCAATCCAAAACACAGCTGGTATGTATCTTCGAGAACATAGTGATCGTTGCATATGAACTGTAAAGCTGAAAACAGTTTCTTTCCAAGAGGAAAGGGGATTGCAGTGGGTGAGAAGAACAGGAGGGTCTTGGGATCCATGTAATTTACTGGTCACTTGATTCTAGGCAGATTTGGGCTTCGTATGCCCTGCTGATTAGCAGTATGTTGTTTATTTTTCCTGGGGTTATGATAATCTTAGAGATGTCATGAGCTACACCTGTACTATGGCTATAAATAAAACGCTCCTTCTCTCTACTGAAGAGCATCTACATGTTGAACTTTCTAGGCACTTAAAAAAAAAAAAAAGCTACACTTGAACACCTGGCTTATCAGCATGCTTTGAATGCTGCTGGGTGCTCTGCATTGCCTAACTAAAGTTAACCAAAGTTTATTGGGAATTCAAATGCCAGACTGCATTTAACAGCTTAACCTCAGCGTTTCAAGTGTGCTGCTACGTTGTGATGCTGCAGATGCTTAGTTCCGATGGCAGAAATGAGTAACACTTGAAAGCCCTGTAAATTGAGATGTCTGCTAGGTGCTTAGCACTCCCTTGTGGATATAAACGGTACTAGATGCTAATCATTCTTCGCTGTTCTTGGAAAGATAGCTACAGTTGGGGTAGTAGCAAAAAGCTGTGCCAAACATTTACTGTCAACTGTAGCACTGGATTTTTTTTTTTGTAAAGGAGGGAGGAAAATCAAGACTCTTATGTTAAGAAAATACAGCCTTCAAATAACTGAGAAACAAAGCTCAGTAATAAAATACTTGTGAGTTCTGGAATACTTCTAAGACATGAGAGAGAATTCTGTTAATTAGATCATTGCAAATCCTCTTACCCACATCTTAAATCTCAATCTGTTCGAACTCTGACTTTCTCCCATCACTAGTATCGGGGTAGATAACTTACCCTGCCTGAGTTTGGTACTGAACCAAATCACTTGTCTCTTTTCAGCAGAGGTGAAATATGACTTATGGCTCTGGAGATCAGCTCCATTAATTTCAGGGCAAGATGGAGTCTGCCCATTTACTATTAAAGGAACTTTCCCCACATCTTTTTCTTAACTTACCAAAATTATCTTAAAGATTCATGGGGTAACTTTAGAAACCTGCTCAATCTAATGAGTGTACTGAACAAATCTTTGGAACTAGTCTTCATTTCTGGCTGACTTCAGAGCTGTAAAGCTCCATTGGCATCTTTATCCGTACAAAATGTTTTGGACTTGCCTAGGAGGCTTCTGTAGGTGCACAACACTAAAATGATTACTGTAAGACTGAACAATTCCAAGTCAAAGTGCTCTCCATACTGGGCACTCAAATTAATGGGACTTAAATTCTGTTACTGAAAAAAAAGGATCTTAAAATAAATACTTCTGTTGGCCACTATTCAAATGTGTTGCTGGTTAAGTGCACATAAAAATGTCCCAGCATGCCACCGAAGTAATTCTGCTTGTAAGTTAAGCTTCTTATGTTACTTTATGATGCTTTCCAGTGCAAGGGAGAGTGCCAAAGCACTGAAACTGAACAGAAAGCCTTTGTGTTTTAGTATTTAAAAAGAAAAAGTAAGGAAGATGAATACATCGGAGTGACCGTATTATTGCTTTTTTTACAAGAAATTGAGCTACCACTACAACCAACTTTCAAGTAAGGTAGAATTATATGCAATAGTGCTGTGAAGAATGTATGACCGGGAAGTAACAGGCACTATAAAGGGAAGTGCTTAACAGTAGAGATGCATGTCTGCTGTCAGCTGTACTGGTTCTCATCTGAAATATCCCCTATAAGAAAAACGATGAGGATAAGAGATGCTTGGAGATCTTAAAAAATAAAATAAAATATTAATTTTTGTGAGCAGTTCCTCCAAGATGTCGCTAGTAGTTCTTGAAACAAGAATGAAGTGCTGTGATACTTACCATATACTGAACCTTGTCCTAGTTGGCTCAAGTTTCTCCGGATTTAACTATTTGTTTAAACCTTATTAACCTAGAAAGTATGTAAGCTATCTCTGCCTAGCCTGAAATAATCACAAAATGCTGCAGGAGAGCAGTTGTGCTTCTGAACTCATCTTTTATTTCACTAACCAATCTTTCAGTTATAAAACACTCAATGTTTTTTAAGATGCAGTAAATTATGCTGCTTCTAGCATGGATCTGAAATAATTCTTGGTGTTGAGGATTCTTTCTCTCCTGATGAATATTATTGCTTAAAACCAGAAGACAACTCATTTTCAGTGGAAGTGTTTTAATTCCTAGGGACTTGGAACTTAGCAAATACTCGAAGCTCACTTTTTGTGGTTAGCTGCTGTGGGCTAGCACTTAAAGATGCAACCCGTTAAAGGAGGACAGGGCAAAACAGCTGTTGCTGGAAGAACATTTTAAATTCAGGTGACTCTTTGGTTGCATGCTGCAGGTGCAGGTAGTCTTAACTATACCATAGAAAAATGCTGTATTTATACTATTATGCTTTGCTGTGTTCAAATGTGGCGTTCTCAAATGATGCTCTACTGCTTGGCACTGCCTTTCCTCTAGATGAGCAGTGAGTATTTTGTCCTTCACTTGCTGTGTGGTTGTTCCTAAGGGAGTTTAGTTCTGGTAAATGTCAATGGAAAAAATGTGGCTCTATTATATCTACAGTGCCTGAGGTGTTTTTATAAAGTCTCTGTGTGAGTTTCCTCTAGCAGAAATGCTCATCCTTCAAGCCATGGCTATATAATGTTAATTTCAGGTCTTGTATTTGCCTTCTCTATAATAAGGTCTTTTAGTGTTGGTGAAACTAGGAAGACTTTACAGGGGAATCTACTTTGTGCCAACTGAGATTAATTTTCAGAAAGTATCTTTGCCAAAATATATCTGAAGATGACTTTTCTATCAAATGTGGTCAGAAAAAATTCTGAACTCAAGGCGGAAACGTCACGCAGGCACCAAGCACGCCTGTGCAGGGTGCTCTGTTCTGCATACATGATACTGGAGGTGGAACAGCCTTATCTTTTCACTGGGGAAAAAGTCTGGGTTTTACTTGCATAACAGGCTGAGCCATCTTTGCTTGTCCTTTGGGGATTCTTTCAGACCAAGGGCCCAGCACCAGAAGTAGCAGCAGTTAGAAAGCCTAGCAAAGATCTCTTCAGTCCTTTCCATGCTTTTCTCTTCTGTCAAAGGCAGCCCACTGTAAAGCCAGTTACCGGAGAGCTGTGTTTTAAGTCTGCAGTGTATTTACGTTCAGCATGTGAGCTGCACTTGAAGCGAGTGGGTCTGTTTGCATACTACTTAAAAGATTAGGGGACAGCAGGAGTGCTAAGAATGTGGTGGGGAAATTTATCTCCCTGCTTGCTTGCATCTTCCACCCAGAGAATTATAACTGTATGGACCTTATACAATACAGCTGAACTTCAGCCTCTCCTCTACTTTGGTTAACTTGTTATCAGGGCTTCTTTATTACTGTAAAAGCTGGTTTTACATTCCAATTTTTCATAGTTCGTGGCCATTCAACATGCTGCCTACGTTTAGCATAAGCTGCCTTGAGCTTCTATCTTTATTCACTTGCTTCTATTAATTACCCTCTAAGTGGTGTGGTGCAGAAGAATGATTTACATTCAAGAAACCTTTTGGCTTGATTCGTAATTTTGAAGCTATCTTTGCTGGACACATCTTTGCACTACTTTCAACCTGAAATTATCTTCAAGTACAAAACCTATCATCCTGGGGCATGCTTCTTTGTCAGAAATCAATTGCTTTGAGAAATTCTTGCTCTGTGAATGTTTAGTACGTTCATTTTGGTTTACTGACTGATCCAGGAGGGCATGTCTGAGTGTGGTAAAGATGAGTTCTGGCTGTTTCGTAAGGCACCCAGGAACCTGAAAGCAAGAGGAAATAATGATCTGTGGGCTGCAGATCTTACCATTTCCATCTGACTTTGAGGAGAACTGTGGTGAAGTCCAGAGGTTTCTGTTTAAAAACAACACAGGACATCACTTCTGACTGCAATATGGTTCTGTTGTCACCAGCCAACAGCTCTTCTTGTATTGCTTCTCCTAGGTTGAATTCCTAGCTTTGTTAATTGGAGCTACGTATCCAGCCTAGGAAAACCTATGCCAGAAGTGTCGTTGGCTGCTGAGGAACCAGAGGTGGTAATACAGGAATGCTGTGGGGTGTGCATGCTTAGATACCAATATATGGCCACTTTCAATTGTCTTTTTTTATGGCTTTGGGATCCAGTTCTACAAACACATGCAGCATAACCCTATTTTAAAATACGGTACTACTTTAGGCCTTCTGTGCCGCAGTTTCTACTGATGTCTGCAAACTGGGCATCCTTTTTATGCAAGTTATTTCAAACTAGCAAGAGTTAGCTCTCAAACTGTAAAATTTTCAGGATATTGTGACACTTTCTAGCATGTCAGCAATTCAGGTTAAGTGGGTGACAACTCAGTGTTATAGTTTGCTGTATGCCATGAGATACTAGAGTTGTGATTTGTAAGACGCTGCGATCTATGTTCACTGTATAAAAAACTGTTGCACTAGCTGTACTTTAAAAAAAATAGCAATAATGTAAGCATCTTATAGCTTATCTGAAAAGGTGCTATCTGTCATGATCACTTGCACTGTTGACCATGAATTTGGTAAAAATGTTGAAGAAATTTGTCCATTGTGGTTTATTCACTTTGCACGTAAGAGCTGAAACTTTTTATGGTCAGCCTATGTACAAAACAAATGCAATACTTTGGACTACTTACATGAACACACATCTTTTAAAATCAAAAATCTATGTCCATTTATGGTGCTAATAATCTCCTATCAAGAAAATTATCAAGAGCTGGTATTCTCTTCTCACCCATGAACATTAAGCAAAGCTGTTTTGACACCTTTTTCAATAAAGCAATTTCTCTATATTTTAAGCTTGTTCCAAATGCTTTTTATATAAATATGACCCTTTTCTATTTATTTTATATAAATAAAAATAATTGTAAATATTTTAAAGGCAGGAAGAAGTTAGGAGTGTATATGGGTATAGACTAGAGGTCTGAGACTGAATTTTCATATGTACTTAGGATGGTTAATCTTTTGAAGCTTGGTCTAAAATGTAAAAACTATTGGGTCGGGTTAAGGCATAGGCTAATAATTTAAGAAAAATGTTCTCTGGTTTCATCACTATTGTTGAAGCCTTGAAGACAGAAAAAGAATATGAAATGGACAAAACTGTACGAGAAGAACACTATTACTCTCTAGCATAGGTGCATCTCTTGCTGAAGGTTTTGAAAAATATTTGTGAAGGGAGATGACCATGTAGCCATATCTGAAGAGCAGAAATGTAGCTTGACAAAATTGTCAGGGCAATTTATAGTCAGACTTTATGAATAAAGGTGAGAAAGTCTTAAACTAAGACTGTTGAGACTATGGAAAAGTCAAGTCACTTTTTAACTATTTTAAAACTTCACGAGCAACCTTTTAAGATTAAAATTAAGAAAACTTTCTTGTGCCTTCTGTTGCAGAATATTTCTTTGTTATTGTTTTGTTGCGTATAAGGAAGGGTAATGTGCTTCCTAATCACTTTCCATCGAATCTTCAGGCAGCAGTATCTATGTTTTCTCTCTGAGAGAAATCAAACCCTTTAGCTCTTGTCAAAAGCTCCTTACTTTCCAACTCGCAGTAGTGAAAGCACTGCCTGTAATATTTAGAAACTTTACTATAGCCAACTCTGAAATAAGTGAGATTTATGTATGAGAAAGTATGGAATAATCATTCCACTTCTGGATGCTTGAACATACAGACTGGCTAAAAATTTCATCCGCAATGCGCGTGAAGGTTGCGCCATAAGGTCTTAATGAACTGCTCTCTCTTATATACTGGCATAAGTTCTCTTGAATAATTTCCTTTTGTTACTTCAGGAAACAAACAAGCTTCTCTAAGATTTATTTTAAGGGACTTCCGTGTCTTTCCGAAGAATGTTCCAGCAATTTCACTTAAAGCTGAAACAAACAATTTAGGATAAAAGCAGGGTAAGATGGGTGACCTAGTGACAGGAATCTGCACTGTCTCACCACTTCCCTCAGGGCTTGCTTTAGTAGTAGGAAATTGGGAAGAGCCAAAGAGAGAACGAAGTCATCTGCAACAGTTTTAAGCCACAGTGGAATATAACTTTCTTATCTTAACTACAGGATGCCTCGGATAAAACTAGTTATCTTTTTCATTTACTAAAACAAGTGCAATATTTAAAAAATATTAACAAATAAATGGCTGCATATATAAACACCCTGCAAAATGAAGCCTTTGTGAGCAAGTGACATGTACTTGACTAGTTAGTGCAGACTTTTAGTGTTAGCACCTGCTGTGAGTTACAGGAATATTTGCCAGTGCACCAGTCTTACTCAGAGAACTTTCCAGTATCTTCAATGCGCTTTTAACAAAGGTTTTTGCAAATAAAGTGCCTATAAAAATAAACATCCAAAGGTTGCCTACAAGCTGAAATGAAGCATATGAAAACACAGCCCAGACTTAAAGAAAATAGGTGTTAAGACAGCAACGACATAGCTGTTGACAACGTAGGCTGTTGACTGTTATATAGTCATCTACTAAGTGTTGATAGGATTCAAAGGCTAAGATAAAGTTTGGGAAAGGAATATTATATTGGTTTTGAGGGCTTACTTTAAACTTCCAGTTCTGCTTTGGCCTTAATTCTGTAGTTTGGTTATCTTTAGTTCAAATCAATTCATATTTCTTTAAGTACTTAATGATTTTTTTACTCTGGTGGGGTTGTTTCCTTGTTTCAGAGAGATTTTTGCCTGTTAAAAGCAGAATCAGCAAATGCTTTGATTACTCAATCAAGGGCAAAACAGTTTGAGGAATAGATTTTTTCTTTAAGCATATAAGCACATGGGAGTTTATTTTTTTTTTTTTATCCCACTCATAGTGGGGCTGGGGAGGATTGATTTCCAAGGAAAGCATTATAGTGCTAAAGCTTGTACATGTAGTTTGTAGGGGTATAATAGGTTATTAAGAAAGTAATCAGTTATATTTTGCTGTTAATTTTGTTTTAAAATGAGGCAATTTGGTTCTAATCTTATTTGGAACAACATTGACTTTATTGTTCCAACAATTGTTATTTTTAAGTTTACTACATCCATTTAATATTTCAGAGTAAAGTTTACATTTGATTAGTAAAGTCCCTTGAAATTACAAATATGCTTTATCAAAACTCATATAAAATGTAACCTCTGAGCAAGCTAGAAGTAGCCGTGTGCTACTGAAACCAATCTTTCAATTGCATATGGGGTGAAGGAGAATTTCTTTAGTAACTTCTTGAATGAGAAGGCTGAGAAGGAAGTGAGACTAGATTACTTTTATGTGAAGAAAACTAATGTAAACAAATGTTTTTTCAAGTATGCTGAATAGCTTAGCTTATTTTCAGACTGCAGAACATAAAGCTTTTCTTGAGACTGATTCAAATTTCCTTAATTCAGCTAAATTTTCATGTTACCTCATGTTGTATCTTTCTAATAGATGACCTTTTCTTTTTGTGAATGTTGTAACTAACCACTGAATTTCTGCCAAGTACAGATGAAAAAAGTCTGCATTCTGTTCTGCTTTATGCTAATTTAAATGTGATCTTAGTTTCCACTTTGTTTCCTCAGTGGCTAGTAAAACATATGCTTGCTGTTGATATTAAAGAGATTACATCCACTTGCCTTAATTGCTGGGAGAAAACCTGACCTTGACCCTTTGAAGCTTTACGTATGTCCAAAACTCCTGTAACTTCTGTATTATTGCAATAAAACCTTTTTAATATAGTCCAGCTGTTGGCCAAGAGCTGCTTGTCATCTTTTCTCAAATGTTCAACTATTTAAAAAAAAAAAAAAATCGAGGGCAAGCACTGCTTTTTTGTTGGTGGTGCTAGTCACTTTTAAAGGTGGTGTACTTGTATTTTGCCCTGTTTTCCTCCTTGTCGTAAAGGAGAATGAAGACCACTTACTAAAATCACTGATGCTCCTGCAGATGGTTTTGGAGAGCATGCATTAGCACCTTTCAACACCCACCTCCCTTTGTAGGTATTAAATATTAGTTTGGAGAAGAAATGGGATTGAGGTGTAACTTCAGGGGGACAAGGGCACTGTCCCCTTTCCCTTCCCCAAAACCCAGGTTCTTCTTGTGGGGAAGGCTGAGAACTAAAGGCACCTTCCCTCTAGTAGGACTGTGTAGGACCACGGAGCCTTTCTGTATGGGTCTGCGTCCATCAGGAGCAGTTATTTGGAGCGGTGCTCCTTGTAGTCCTTGGCTATACAAATACAGGAAAAATGTGGTGTATTACACAGGACCTACAACCTTTAGTATCTGGTGAGGGAAAGAAGGATGATGTACACTTCCACATTTTCTGCTAAATCCCAATACAAAATAGATTTAAAAAAAATGCCACTTTGGATAAATGGTGTTTGTTTGGACGTGAGTAACAGCAACTCCCTTCTCACAGCTGTGGAGAGTCACTGCCTGTTTGTGACAGACCTGCTGCCATTTATTCAAACCTGACTTAAATTATAACAGCGGTGGAGGAGGAAAACAAGAGGGGAGCTACTCCATTGCAATAGCTGCCCTGAACCTCCTGGGGGAGATTTTGGTTTTATTCTCCTGAACGCTTTTGCAGCCACCCCCCTCAGCGCAGCGCGCCGCACCCCCCTTTGACTTGTGAAGCGGGCCAGCTGCTGTGCTCCCCATCCAACCTCGGGGGCGCCTTTACACACCCTTTTCCCCCAAAATCCCCACCTCAGCCGCCAAACCCTAACCCCTCGGCCCCATTCCCGTCCTTTGGGGGCTTTGCTGTCAGCGCACGGCGGCGCAGCCCGGCCCCGGGGCGGGCGCTGTGAGGGCGCCGGGGGCGGCCGCGCCGCCTCAGGCCTCGCCTCCGCCATCTTAGGGGGGAGCCGAGCGCGGGCGCCTCTCGAAGGGATGGCGGCGGGGCCGTGGCTGCTGCGGGTGCCCAGCGCCACCGAGTTGCTGCTGGCGGCCGTGTGCTGGCTGGGCTGCTGCTGGCTGCTGCGGAGGAGGCGAAGGGAGGAGCCGCAGGGGCTGCCGCCGGGCCCCGCGCCCTGGCCGCTGGTGGGCAACTTCGCCTTCGCCCTGCTGCCGCCGCCCCTGCTGCGGAGGTGGGGGGTGGAGGTGTGGGGCCGCGGCCGGGGCTCCCCCGTCTTCTCCCCGCACGTCTTCCTCACCGGGCTCACCAAGATGTACGGCGGCATCTTCCGCCTCTTCGTGGGCAGCCGCCCCTTCATCGTCCTCAACACCTTCGGGGCGGTGCGGGAGGCGCTGGTGCAGCAGGCGGAGGTGTTCAGCGACCGCCCCTCCGTCCCCATCGTCCTGATGATCACCAGAAAGAAGGGTAAGGGGCCGGGGGAGGCCCTGATTTGGGGAAATTAAAGCAGAAATAAGGCTCCCGAGCGGCATCGGGGGCATCTAACGGATGGGGCGGAATGAGGCTGCCTTTAATTGCAGCGCCCACCGCTTAATGAGCGCGCTGACATTTAGCGCGGATCAATTAAGATCAGAGGGACCTAGGCTGTATTGATTAAAAAGCAACCTGCTAGCATAGCTGCGGTTTTTTAAATTAATTTTAAAAAGGGATAGACTATTTATATTTAGCAATATTAGCTACATCTTACTGCTGTGCAATTCTTACAGGGCATGAATATTGCCAGGTCCCGTAAATTCAGCAAAGACCGAGGGAAGAAAAGAGATGAGCAGCTAGAGACTGGAGCAATTTGAGCTGTACTGCTGCTGTAAGCAAACAAAACCACCCCAGCCCCAATCCCTGGAAAGCCAGGTTGGTTATTGACCCGGCAAATTCAGCCCCAAATAAACCCGTTCCCGCACAGCCCTTCCACGTGTCTGATGACAGCAGTGCTGCCTGGAAACTTTGCAGGAAAAAGGGGATTTGAAAAGTTTTTGGTTCTGTTTTTAAAGTGCCAGATAATGGACATTTGAGTAGGTTTTCTGTTTGTACAGAGAGGGGGAAATGCAGCTGATTCGCAGCCTGTACCGACTCATCCCAATGTCCTGCTTTAGGACTTTTGGAACTGGGTCATGTGTTTATATTTTTCAGTCCATTGTTAATACTAGGAATAATGTAATCAGACAACGTGGCTTTAAAGATTTCCAGCTCTGTGTTATATTGAGCTATTACACCTCTGGGACTGCAGACCTTTCAGAGTACAGCTGTCTCGCGTTTCTGCAAATTTCCGTGTTTCTATCTACAGATTTCTTGTTTGTTTATTCTCCTTTTTGTCTTAGGGGTTATGAGCATGAAGCCTTAACAGAAACGTAGGTGACATTAAGTGTTGAAAAATGGTGCATCTTCCTGCTGCCAATTTCTTGTAGCCATTTCTCTTCCATTTAAACTTAGCAGTAAGATTTGCAGTTGACAGTAGAATTGGTGTTGCTTTTATAAAGTAACATTTTATTTCTGGGAAAAAAAAAATAAAAAAAAAAACAAACTGATGATGTCACTACATTAGGAGAACAACAGCAAAACTCTCCCTTGTTTTGGTGACTTCAAACATATCGGGTTGACCAAGGAGTCCATCAGAAGTAGCTGGCAGTGCATTTTGGTTTTTCGGCGGTACCTCTGGTGTGGTCTGTTAGGTTAACAGGAGATGTTTCTGTTTGTAAGTGAACAATATTGACACGAAGGGAAGGAGTTGAGTAGTGTTTCGTAATGATATAATTACACAGAACGCGTGCCTAGAGGCAGCAGAATTGTGGAGATGCAAGTCAGGTTGGCTCTGAATCTGGCTTCACCTTCCCTGGGTATTTGCAGCACGTGTATCCCTTACTTATATAGATTATAGCTAAAGAAAAAGCATTGGTTATGATGAATATGCGGTGCTTCCAGCCAGCTGGGCAGCTGAGCTCTGCCACAACAGCTCTCTGCCCAGCAGTCCTTCCCAAACTGAGCCTGCGGGGGCTGCCCACAGGCAGCAGCTCTTCAGGAACTGCTCCCACACGGCTCCGTCCCACGGGGTCCATCCATTCCCCAGGAGCAAACTGCTCCAGCATGGGTCCCCCACGGGTGGGCGGCAGCTCCCCCCAGCCCTCCTGCTCCACCGGGGGCTCCTCCACGGGCTGCGGCATGGAGATCTGCTCCGTGTGGGACCCATAGGCCTCCCAGGGCTGCTGTGAAGAAGTTTTGGGAGAGCTGTGGGCCTCCTCTAGCTCCTAGCCCAATGCTTGGGACAGAGGTGCCGTGTAACTTTTCCTTCTCTTCTGGTTTAGGGGTTGCAGGCCTGGGTAACTGTTTCCCCTTGCAAGCAGAGCAGAGTGGTTTCAGACTGTTTCTTTCTCTTCCAGGTGTTATTTTTGCACCTTACGGCCCTGTCTGGAAGCAACAAAGGAAATTCTCTCTGTCAACGCTGCGGCATTTTGGAGTGGGAAGGCACAGTTTAGAGCCCAAGATCATAGAGGAGCTGAAGTTCATAAAGGAGGAAATGCTGAAGCACGGGAAGGATGCCTTTAGTCCTTTCCCGATTATTCGCAACGCGGTGTCCAACGTTATCTGCTCCATGGCCTTCGGCAGGCGTTTCAACTACGAGGATGTCGAGTTCAAGACGATGCTGAAGAACATGGCCCGCGCGCTAGAGCTAAGTGTGAACAGCTACATGATCCTGGTCAACATCTGCCCGTGGCTGTACTACCTCCCCTTCGGGCCTTTCAGGGAACTGAGGAAAACAGAGTTAGACATGACTGCTTTTCTAAAAAAAATAATTGCACAGCACAGGGATACGCTGGATGCAGCAAATCCCAGGGACTTCATTGATATGTACTTCCTCCACGCCGAAGAGCAGAAGAACAACAAGGAGAGCAGTTTTAATGAAGACTACCTCTTTTTTATCATTGGTGACCTGTTCATCGCAGGCACAGACACAACTTCCAACACGATCTTGTGGTGCCTGCTCTACATGTCCATCTATCCAGATGTGCAAGGTAAGACTAAGTTCATTCTAGGGGTTTTATTCCAGACTAAAAAACTCCAGATGGATTTTCAGAAGCAGAAGCAAACAGCTGCACTATAGAAGTCATTAGGAGTGCTGCTACTACACGTGCACGTGCAACAAATATAAACCAGGAATACTTTCATCAAGTACCTGAGATTTTGAGGTTTTCAGGTACTTCAGCTGCTTTACAAGTTAGCAAATTGATAGTGTTTACAGCCCCTATCTGTCTGGAATAATCTGTTTAAATAGGTCAAGATCATAGTTTGTTGTACAAATAATCTGTGTCAACACAGGTTGTTGAGCAAAGGTTGCAAAGTAGGGTATCACTTCAGCAGACAAGGTTCACAAAGGACAGATTTGAAACAGTATCGCATGGGCTCATTCTTCTGTTTTTTTAATGATCCTGGGTTATCACTGCTTGACTTGATAGGCAGGTACAAGAATGAGATATGTTCTAAATTACACAAGTGATATCTGGAAGGGTTTTGTGTTGGTGTTTTTTTTTTTTAATCCCTGTCAATATATTTGTCTTGTTTCCTACAGGAGATGCAAGAAATGCATAACTTCCAGCAGTAGCAAATGGTGCAGACAGATACTTTCTGGAAAGGCAAATGAAGGGCTGTTTGGGGTGGGGGAAATCAGGGAGTATGTATTTGTCTGCTGAAGGCAGTTTTCCTTTTTACATGGGAAAGAGAAGAGGGATATGTGTGAGTGCATGCTCACTCCTGCATGTGCATGGATGGAGGTGGCAGGGAATACTTTATTTCGGTCTGTTCCCTCACTTGGTTTTGGCCCTGGACTTCTGAAGCTCTGTGAGATTTTTAAATCCATGAAGCGTAGTGGAGCATGTACCCAAGGGCCACACCATTAACAGACCTCCTACCGTTCAGGTGGTTTTTGTTGTGTGTTCTTCATAGGAGAACTTGTTTTCCTAGCAAACCCAATAGGTGGCAGCAAATGTTCGTTGAACACAGCCCATACTGCATTTTGGGGTGCTTCTCTGCCTCTGAAACCAGGAAACTTTTTGCATTGGGCTTTTATTTAATCTGGAGTCAGCACTAGGGAGAGAGAAGAGCAAAACTTTGAACTCTCAGAAGCCTGGATTCCACATCTTGGAAAAGGGAAGCTGGACCACCACAAAATATTCAGGATATCAAGGGTGGAACATGAAAACTGACTTTTTATTTTGGATGAAAGGCTGATTGTGGTGTCTTCTCTTTCAAGATTATCTTTTGCTGTGTAGCCACATTCCAAGTGCCCTGGAATAAAAGCAGCAGAATCCAGTCCAAGGGCGAGGGAAATCTTGCAGCTTGGAAACTTGTTTAATAGAACTTTTGTGCTGAGCCTTCAGAGAGAAGAAAGGGAAAAACGAATACTTTTGACCCTTTTTGCTTTATAGGACTGAGTGTGGAGATCAGCTCATTAATTTATGTTTTCCCTTTGCAGAAGGGCTGTATGGGGGAAGGAACATCCTTCCTGGGGATCTGGGAAGTAGCTGAGTTTGGGTCCTGTGAGCAGAAAGCAGGAAACAGCAAGAGCGAGTTGCGTGTCTGTAGTGCATGCAGTAACAGCGCCAGAACGCCTGCTCCAGAGCAGAGTTCCCAAAGCAGCTACCTTGACATCTTTCCCATCTCTTCAGCACCTTTTCCAGTTTAGAGAACTGACTTTTTTATTTCAGGGACCAGAGACCAGCTGGAGCATGCAGTGCATGCAGTCTGGCTTTGTTCTTTTTTAATTCTGGTCAGAAACTTGATGCTTTCACCATTCAAGTTACCATATAGTTAAATGGCAAACTGAGGTTGGATCTGGAGCAGAACTTTTCCTATACTTAAGCAATGCAGCGGTGCTGTCAGTGTCTGTCCTGCCGGTGGCTTTCCTCTGGACAGTTGTCAAGATTGTGCCTGCTTGTTTTTTTCTTAAATGAGGCTGTTCTGTAGGCTTCTGCTGGCATAGCTATTCCTGCTAGGAAATCATGTCTCGCAGTCGTTTTTGACAAATCTGTGTAAACAATGAAGCATAGACAAGTGAAATTGAGGTCATGCCTTCTCACATATTGTGCATCTCTTTCATTTTTCTCACTCCCTTTGAATAGAGAAGGTTCATGCAGAAATCGAAGCAGTTCTGGGACGTGACAAGGTTCCCTCTCTCACCCACAAGGCTCAAATGCCCTTCACAGAGGCAACCATTTTGGAAGTGCAGAGGATGACGGCAGTGGTTCCCCTTTCCATTCCTCGAATGGCTTCAGAAACCACTGGTAAGCATTTGCAGAGACTTGTTCATACAGTGTTTCCTTGGTGGGTGAAAATCTGATGGGACATCTGGTGAGAATTTACAAAGGCCTCATTTATGCACTGGGACATGTAACTTCAGCATGGGAAATGCCATTCAGAGAGTGGGTGGGCTCAAGATATCCACCTAGGTAAGCAGCACGCCTGACCTAACATCCAGAAGTTTTCTAATGTAGTCTCTTTCCCAGAGGTCAGTTTGTGTTAACTCATGTGCGTAGTGGTAGTTAAAAGCTGAGAGCCCACCTTTGCATCGAACAGCAGAGCTGGTTTTGGCTATCAGACACAAAACTCTGAAAATACTAATTTCAAGTAGCTGCTTTGCTTTGCTGAAAGGCATGTGCCACAGAGAATACTACAATAAATATTCTTTTCAAAGTCTCTTTGTTGGCTGTGTTTCTGTAAACATAGCTGAGAACTGGTTGAAGTCAGCGGGAGGTAGCAGCACTTGGCTTTCAGCTCCAGCACCGAATTGATTTGCTTTTCTAATGTTTTTGCTTGCAGGACGGTGAGGTGCAGCAGGCTGCAATGAGGCTAGTCACTTCAAAACCCTTTTGTGCTTACAGTTCAAAACCCACCCCTCTTCCTTATCTCCGCCTTCGCTGTGCTGGGGCTCTGTGGCAGCACAGGATCGGGAGGAAACTGGGTCACAACGCCTCCATGCAGCAGCGTGCCTTTCTGACTGCTGCTGCAGCTGTCCTGCTGGCACGCTGAGGGAGGCCTCGGAGAAGAGTAAAACGTGGCTGAGGCTTCTCCGCTGCCTTTTCCCTGCAGGGAGCTGTTGCCCTGGCTTGGTGTCTCTCTAGCTGCTCTGGCCTGCGTGATGCTGACCCGGCGAGGCTAGCAGCAGTCACCTTTGCCTCAAGCTCCTGCTACGTTTGCAACCCACAGCTGGGGTTCTGTCTAATTGTCGTGGTGGTTTCCAGGCTTCATTTTTTAATAAGTCGTCTGTGTTTGCTCCTGGCAGTTTGTCAGATCCTCTGTCTTTGTGCTTTTGTTCCAAGTGCTGCAGGGATACACTATTCCTAAGGGCAGCGTGATCGTGCCCAACTTGTGGGCAGTGCACAGAGATCCTAACATTTGGGAGAACCCGGATGACTTTCAGCCAACAAGATTTCTGGATGAAAATGGCCAGCTAATTAAGAAAGAGGCTTTCATTCCTTTTGGAATGGGTAAGATATCCACACGCACTCATGAGCTGCTTGGGGGTGGTGGCGTTTTTCAAGCAGAGGGCCTCAGAGGCACGAGATTGACAAGGACTCACGGGACTTTCTGCAGAGCTTGTTTTATTATTTCATTTGGTGGCTTGCAAAATGGGTCGGGTTCCTCAGAGCTCCAGTTGCCAGGCAGAAATGGGAAGTGATGAATCTTACTTTGACACCACTTTTCCTACAGATGTAAATACTGTTTATACCAGGCAGTAAACCTGAGCAAAATTCAGGCTCAAATACTGGAGACCAAAGCTTTGGAAGTCTGTAATTTACTCATGGCTTGAGCAATTCTGTGTTTGGGATATGCTAGACTAGGAGTTGCATGTGTGTTAACAGCTGGATCAGCAGCATCACACAGTAACACATCTCTTTCTAACTGTTCTTCAGGTAAACGTGTGTGCATGGGAGAGCAGTTGGCGAAAATGGAGCTGTTCTTAATTTTTGCGAGTCTAATGCAAAGTTTTACCTTTGTGTACCCTGAAAATGCTACAAAACCATCTATGGAGGGAAGGTTTGGTCTCACGTTAGCTCCGTGTCCATTCAAAATAATAGCTTTGAAGAGATGATACAGCGTCACAAACGATGAAACAAAGAAATACTGCACTTTTTAATTCCAGCTTTATTTTCTTTCCAGCTTATTTTGATAATTTCTTACCAGAAAAACGGTGACTGTGTAGGCTTTCATTTCATATCAGTGAGAAAGATCCATTTACAGTTCTGGATAGAAAACATTCTTTTGGTTAGCTGTTGCATTCCACAGAGGAACTGACTGTATAGTTTGTAATTTGATATTAAAACTTGCTGGGCTTGAGCCCTCTGTCTGTTAAGCTAATGCTGTCCATTTGTCAGATGTTAATTATGGAAGAATGGTCCAAAACATCTGTTGCTACTTTAATGAATAACGATTATTATTTTGGTAAAAGCAGAATGTGAACATTTAACCCACCAAACATGTGAAGGACATTGTCTAATATCAGAAGAATTAACAATTAGCAGGGTATTAGCCTTTTCTGTATAAAGAAACATTCTAGCAGAGCCTAAATAACAACAAATCTTTGTTTCAAAGGACTAAATGACACTTGCTTTAACATTGGAGCATTCTTTCTTGTGAGGAAGTCATAGGTGTAGACTGGATCAAATCAGTCCCAGATTCTCGGATCCAAACTTCCTTGACTATCAGGGCTCACCTGTAAACACGATATGCATGTACCAACTCAAAAAAATAATAATAATAATGCACATGCCAGGCTCACTTGGAGGTCAGACAAATCCTTGGACATGCCACGTTCTTAACCTGGGGGTGTGAAAGGAGTGCGCAGCCTCTGGGCGCAGATGTTTTATTCCTAAACATCAGAGCTGATTTCCCTAACACAAAGCAGAAGCATGTTTTCTCTGGTGCCAAACAGATACTCAAGACTACATCTGTGCTTCGCATTCGCTGTTTTCCCCGAGTCAGAAGTGATGGTTTTTTCTCTGGCTGCAGCCTGGGTGAGACCAACAGCCTGCTCACCAGGGAGACCTCTGCGTGGATAATCCTGAAGCTGGGGCTTGCAGTCAGGATTTCCCTGTACAGGGCAGCGAGGATAGTACTGCCACAACCTTTTTGGCTTTGAGAACTGGAGTCTTGCGTCAAATGCGCATCAAAATGACACTATGGACATAGGTCTTAGGCATATAAAATGAGGAATCTGACAAACTTAAGGTCTGACTATAGAGGATGTCTCTTTGGTATCTCCCAAATGCCGTAAAAAGATCTGTCGTATATATAAAAGTAATATGACAGGACCTTACTCTTTTCTCATGCAGAATTTTGGTGCTGTTGACCTTTGTCAGAACGAGCGTCAGGGAAACCTGTTAGGTATTTCAGAATGGGGCACTCAGTAAAGCCATTTAAATAAAAATGTCTCTCAAATGTCTGAAGTAGTCTTTGAGGGATGTGTAACAATTAACCTTTACATAATTTTCTTAACAATCCTTAAATCTCTTTATATACCTTTTGAGCTATCAATTTCATATTAGATAAAATAAATACGTATGTATTCTTCTAAGGAATTTTTGTCCTTATTGGAAATACAGAAAATACTAGCAGTGCTCCTGATGTCAAGTTTACAAGACTGGAATGTGAAATAGACTGTAAAGTGAAATTGGGAATTCTGTAGCATGAAACCTAAACTGCAAAAGAAAATTCAGTCCGTAAGCTTTAAATTAGCTCTGTTTCTGTCACTTTTTAACTCAAAGTTTTAAAGCCAACTTGTGCCTAGCAAAGACTGTAAGATACTTTGGGTTTCAATTAAGCTTTTCCTTAGCTGTTACAAGTAACACAATGGCTTAGTTTCTGAATAATGAATTTGGTTGGTCTGGTACCCCTCTGTTTTTTGTGAGAACTTCCAGTTCTTATAAAATCTAAGTTTTTACTGTATAGGTTAGCCCGTGCTGGTGGATGTTTGTTTGTTTGTTTGTTTGTTTTTTCGTATGAAATTTTTGAAAACCAGATTGCACAATAAGAAGTTGAGTTTGCTACCATTGCTAATTAACTTGCACTAAAAGCTGACTTCATTGGAGTGATAAACATTTATTTCTTTAGCTTTATATTTTCCAATGAATAATATACAGTTGGGATTTTTGACTGGAAATCCTTAAATGCTTAATTTGAAAGCTAAAGTGAAATGCTGATAATATTTATCTTTCTGTTGAAATGCCTCTATAAACACATAATGATGTTAGTGTGCAAATAATGACTTATAAAATATCTGTCCTTTTAATCATGAGGACGTATTTGAAAAGCACTTTAGTATTTTATTGTTATTTTTTTAAAGATTCCAAAGAAGAGATGATTCACATAATCTCCTAGTATGGGGAATTGTATATATTTGTGCGTGTCTTGCCTGCTAGATTTAGTTTAAAATGTCAGCTTTGAAAATTACCCTCCTACAAAAAGCACTTTAAAGGTGTAATTTCTGGTGATACCTATAATCAAACACCGCGTATTGTGACAAGCTCAAAATAGCGATGTGGCGGTGCAGCTGTGTCAGTGTCTGCCTGAATCCAAGATGCTGTTGGAAGTGATGATACAGACCTGCCTCTCATCGCTTCCAGATGCACCGAAATTGGTGTAGGATGCCACAAAAGTAACTAAACAATAGCAATGCAATGTTTGTGTTTTCAAAACCCTGTTGCCATCTTTGGTAAACTGTAGATAAAGTGGCAGCAGATGTGGTTTGTATTGTAAATTTATCTTTCCCTTCCTTTTTTTTTTATTGGAGGAGGAAGCATCTCAAATGCCTTATTGAAAAATGTACATTTATATAAATGGATGGCTATTTCTGAATGATGAAAATGTCTTTATTTCTAAAAATTACTTCAGAATTTGCTTCAATGTAATTTTATTTTTAATAAAGTCATTCCTAAGTAAGTGCTTGACAGCTTTGCACAGTTATTTTAATGAATTCCGTTTGTTGGCTAAGCTTGCGATATTTGGCATTTTACATGTTATGTAAAACAAAAAGCTTTTGAGTGAGAAGATGTTACAGAATGTTTTGGATGGGGAGTCAAGGAAGTAGTGGGAGGGTGGTGGGGGGGTGAAACTGGGAAAATATAATAGCAGGATGTTATGAGCAAGTAATAGAGTATGTCTCTTCGTTCTCTCCATGCAGTTTTACAAACCCTGTTACTCTGAAAGAATAAAAGGAGGAGAGAGGCGTGGAGATGGAGGAGGTAAAAGGGAGAAGGTGCTAAGAGGAGATGGACGGTCTGAGGAGCTGAGGTGTGGTTTTGTTGGACCCCTGGTGCAGAGGAGTCTGAGGGCAGAGGTGCTGGGGCCTGAGGGGGGCAAAGAGAGGCAGGAGGCCCCTGAATGCAGAAGGGGAAGGGATGAGTGGGCCATAAGCGAAATGCTTGTTGGGGAGAAATGGGTTGGAGCCCTGCCTGCTGCACTTGGAGAGCTCGGCAGAGGGTTGGCTGCTCTCTGGGGAAGTCCTGGGTTTTAAACCTGGAGTTATGCTGCAAGTAGCTTGGCACGGGGAACTTGGTTTTAGAGGACGGTGTTAATTACCCACTCAGTCATTTGTGTACGCAGGGAACGGTGACTGAGCCTGCTTGCTTGGGTGAAGCTGTTCCCAGCAGCCTGCTACCGTTCCTGACTCAAGCCAGATGAGGCGCGGCACAGAAAATTTTCTCATTACACTTTGTACTCAAAAGTGCACAGATCCAAAAATACTTCAGCTCTTTTGAAGAAAACAAGTTGCTTAATGGTTACCTCTGTGCTGACTCAAGTGAAATGTGCTACGGTTGCGGCGTTGTCAGCTGTTGCTGGCTTGAAGCTCTGGTCCTTCAGGTGTTGGAGGAATTAGGTGGAAAAGGGTGGCAGGGGGTGTCTGATAAGTTTGTGTTTGTGAAGGAAGGGCTAGATTCGGGGGGATTCCTATAGTTTGTGTAGGCTTGAAAACGAAATGTCCGTCTAGTTAGGACGTGTGCTGATGGCACATTGCACAGCAGGCCCGATTTTGAGGGTTTAGTGGAGGACTGTTAGCGTTAGGTCAGAGGTTGGACTCGATGATCTTGAGGTCTCTTCCAACCTAGAAATTCTGTGATTCTGTGAAATAACCTGCTGCCACGCCACCAGCTGGAGTGAAGCGCGGCGTGAAGGACGGGCACCAAGGCAGCCCCCACAGGGAGCCAGCCCCTCGCCATTATCGGGTTGACCTTGGGGACAGCGGGGAGGGTGCCAGCAGCCCCCCAGCGGCCGAGGAGCGGCCCCAAACCCACTGAGGGACGGGCAGCCCCCGCCGGGCGCCTCTCCCCCTCAGGCGGCCCCGGCTCCCCGGGGCGGAGCGCGGCGCTCGCCCCGCCTGGCCCGGCCCGGCCCGGCCCCGCCGCCGAGCGGCCGCAGGCTCCTTGCTGCCGCCTGCCCGCCTCCGCCATGGCTTTCGCCACCCGACGCTTCGTGCGAGCCGCCTCCTCCTCCTCCTCGTCCTCCGCCGCCGCTGCTGCCGCCGCCGCCGCCGCCACGGCGGCCGCCAAGAAGCTGCTGGTCAAACATGTCACCGTCATCGGCGGCGGGCTTATGGGCGCCGGCATCGCCCAGGTGAGCGCGGCCGGGGCGGGAGCCGAGCGGCAGCGGGAGCGGCGCCGCCGCCATGACGGGGGGGGGGGGCGCCATGTTGGGGAGCTGATGGCCCCGCGGGGGTTCTCTCGGGGCTGGTCGAGAATCAAAGAATCATTAGGGTTGGGAAGGGTCTCCAGTATCAGCTGGTCCAAACGTCCCGTACCACCAGTGTCACCCGCTAACCGTGTCCCCAAGCACCACGTCCAGCCTTGCCTTGAGCACCCCCAGGGACGGGGACTCCGCCACCTCCCTGGGCAACCCGTCCCAGTGCCTGACTGCTCTTTCTGAGAGGAAATTTCTCCTAATTTCTAACCTAAACCTCCCCTGGCCGTTCCCTCTGGTCCTATCAGTAGTTATCTGTGAGCAGAGGCCGACCCCCAGCTCCCCACCCTCTCCCTTCAGGCAGTCGCAGAGAGCAATGAGGTCTCCCCTAAGCCTCCCCTTCCCCAGCCCAAACCCCCCCAGCTCCCTCAGCCGCCCCTCACAGGACTTGTGCTCCAGGCCCCTCACTAGCTTCATAGCCCTGCTCTGGACATGCTCCAGGGCCTGGAATCACTTGTCTGAATATACCACAGGTTTGCACTCAAATGATTTAATGCGATGCCTATTTCAGCATGTAGCATACAAGGCACACAGGCGACCTAGGGTGGGCAGCACACAGGTATCTTACCCTCAGGACGAGGATTTGGGGCTGCCAGTGAAGGGGCACACCTGAGCTGCTGTGTTAGCAGACTTCTGCAATCTTCGGTTTTATTGTTTCAGAGTAGAAAGCACTGCCGCGCCGCTGCTGTCCGGTTGCTCAACTTTAAAACTTTTCTCTTGTTAAGCCACAGATCTTCAGGTCAGACAGGTAGGCAAGAGGAACTGAGGTTAATGTCCTAAATTATTTAGGATGGTTCTTATGACAGCGTGTGGGCTATTTATAAAACCAGACAGTGTGTAATAAATATTTGGAAAATGTAGGGCTAAGAAAGAAGCTTCTTCTATCTTGCCAAGGGAGCGGATCAAGTGACATTATTACCAGTTATTTAAATACCGTATAGCAGCTAAAACGAACATTAGGCTGTCAGTCATCTATAGAGTTATGGAGCGGTTAATATTTAAATAGCACTTATTTTCCCAGTGTTTAATCTCTGGCCTTTGGCTTTCAAGTTCATCTTTAACCCGATTGCTTTGTGACTGAACAGTCTTGCCAGTGATTTAAGATTTAGTTATTTACCTCATTCACAGACAGAGCTTGTTGCCAAAGTACTGGGTGCTTCACAAACAGTAACTGGAGCATCCAGCATCCTCCAGGTTGGCACTGCTTTTCCCCAGGTGGAAGCCAGCAGGGAGTTGGAGTACACAAATAGCAATGTTCCTTTTTTTTTTTTCTTTTTTTTTTTAATTAATGGATGACCTTCTCAGAAGTGAAGATTTTTCACATTCTTGGCAAATTGCAAATTTCTAGTAGGAGGCATACAGGGGCTGTGTGGTTTTTGGCTTTTTTTTTTTTTTTTTTGTAAGGAATAAAGTAGTTGTTTATTAACTTGTCTGGTAGCAAACACCTTTCTGCACCTTGATACTAGAATTTGAGATTTCCACTGAAGGAATCTTCAAATAACAACTTTGGAGCAAGCTGTTAGCATGCTCAAGGAGCATGCACACTATGCAAAGGTTGTAATTCTGTAGAGTAAGTGCCTTAATATGCATATTCTGTTAGATTGCATGTTTTAGGGAGAAGTTTACCAAGAGAAACAGGTGTGGTATTTGGCAGTAACAGCAGTTGTAGTGTTCTACCAATGTTAAGGACCTAGGAGTGTTTTGCTGACCATCTGCCTCCGATTTATCAATCCAGAATTATCCCAAAGCAGAGATGATTGTGACAGAGTAAGGTCTCCTCTGCACCCTGGTAGTAAAGATTTTCCTCCTGCTTTGAACACTTCAGAAACCATCTTCCTTCTTTCTCATACAGTCAGGAGAAGCTAATCAGTGCATGGCTGAAAGCCAGGAAATTACAATTTCTCATTCAGCCACATGAACAGTGTGAGAGAAGCATTAACTGACTCCCCAGCACTGTTGTGTTTCATATGTAATATTCATAAAGACACTGGAGAGAAGAGTTTGTACAAGCGTGTGTTTGAATTGCAAGGCGATTATGTGATTTCTTGACATTTTTCTTCTTTCCTATAAACACACATATGTTAAGAATGAACTGGAAAAAGGGAGCTCTTAGCTTCTCTATGATTCTTTGCCAAGTGCTCAGTGATGTTCTGGTACAATTGTAAATGGATAATCGCTGAAGCATGTCTTATGAATGTGCTTGGTAATGAATTTTTTTCTGAAGAGTAGAGGACCTTGCTTTGCCGTTGCAAATGATAGCAGCAGATGAAATTAGAAGAAATGGAAGTCCAATCTTAATTTAAACATTTCTTATGATACAACTGATTTTATGAAATGGCCATAATGAAAATAATAAAAAAAAATGGATGAAGAAATGTCCAGCTGCAGGCTGACACCTTGTTAATTCTGCAGTGCTTCTGTCTGGAACCAGCCTGGCATTTCTTTATTTGCTGGATTTGTGAGGAATCTTGAATGAGAATAGTGCCACGCTTTTCTTCAGGTCTGTGTTTTTCATTTCAGCTAGCTTTGTTGGGGTAGGTCTTGTGGGCACAGGAGGTTCTTTAAACTCCAGGTGCGAGTTAGGTGTAAAGGGAAAGTTTGCAGAAGGTTAACTCCTAAGGTGTCACTCACAAAAAAAAAAAAAAAAAAAGTGGAAACATGTTTCAATGTCTGTTATTTTCTGTAGTTATTATATTGCAACTTTGTTCAGCAGTTCTGAAAATGAAGATAGACTGTTGCTAGCTAACAAGAGAAATGTAAATTAATGAATAGCAAAGTAACAGATAATGGCAAGCTGGTTTTTAAGAGGCAGAGCCAGTGTTTGTACCCAGTTTGTAGGAAGGAGAGTGTGCTAGCACTTTGGATCTGCACAGAGCCCTGCTGGGGCAAAAGCCTAATTTCTGCTCCCATTTCCACTGTCACCTTCCCGTTGTTCCAGGCACACGCTCATGGTCAAACAGCAGCGTTGTGTTACGTTACGCCCCAGGATCACAGGGCCAGCCATCCCTTATGGCACCTGTTCACCCTGCCAGCCTTCCACTTTTGGTCTCCACAGCCCTTTTTGCTTCAAAGATCCGAGGCTCACGGCTAAGCCGCTTCCTCTTTTCAAGACAGATTTCTTTCACTTGTCAGAGCTGCAGAATCCAGCTGCCTCCAAGTGCAGTTCTGCAGACAGCTCGGGGGAAAAAGGGATTTCTCTTTCCTTTTCTCTCAAGTTGAGTCCTTTCTCCCTTCTCCTCCACCCCAAATATTTGAGCATTTTAATGATTTTTTTTCTATTAAAGTGCATGATTCTTGATTCTAGGTCCTTTAGCAGTCTTTTGCCTAATTCTGGTCAGTTGTCTGCCCCAACCCACATCAGTCTGGTTGTTTATGATGTTGATGTTGAATCATATTTTAACTTTCAGATTGCAGCAGCCAGTGGTCACACGGTGGTGTTGGTAGACCAGTCAGATGAAATCCTCAAGAAGTCTACAAAGGGAATTGAAGAGAGCTTGAAGAGAGTGACAAAGAAGAAATTTGCGGATAAGCCTGAGGTTGGCATCTTTTTATTTGTACCATTAGGAGAACTTAGGATAATAAAATTCCTGTACTGGAGTTCTGATGTTGTTTTGCAGTTATGCGTTACAGAGCATACTAATATGCTGGTTTAAAAAATAGATTTTTTTTTTCAGTACGATGAAGAGCTTGGATTTTCTTTTTGCAATTCAGGGAGGCTGAAAGATGGATGCCTTCCCTGATTTTTGTTCCTTCAGCCTCTAGATAAAGATTTAAATAGCTTGGTGACTTTTTGAAACAAATGTTAAATGCAAAATGGTGCCAAATAATTAATCCTGAGGTTTGGGGGGCTCAAAAATACGTTACAGCACATATGTGGGTTTTCATGTAAAAAGAAATGAAATCATTGTTGCAAATTCTTGTGATGTTTCAGGCTGGTGCAGAATTTATTGAAAAGACCTTAAAGAACCTTACAACAAGCACAGATGCAGTAGCAGTGGTCCACAGCACGGATCTGGTGATAGAAGCCATCGTGGAGAACCAGGAAATTAAAAATGAACTCTTCAAGAGGCTGGATAAATTTGCTCCAGAGTATGTGTATTTCTTCTCTTTCATTTTGAAACTTGCACCTTTAATTATTTTTTTTTCTCTTGCACCATTAATTCTGCATTTTCTTAGCTGTTTTTCTTAAAAACAGGAGGTTTTCTCCTTAGACTTACTCCAGACTGTCACATGTAACATGTACCTGCCAGGTACATGTGTTACAAACACATTCAGGTACATTCATCTGCTTTATTTACTTGTTGCATTGCATTATTTGATGTGCTTCATGGTATGATTTGACAAGAGGAGGTTTGTTCATCTACTCAACAAGTTCAAAGCCTGCTTTATCCAAGTCAGATCTAAATGCAAATGTGCAGCTGTAGCATAACCATATCCTGGTACAGATCGGGTATGGTTAACATACATTCCCATAGTTAAATAGGGAATTTGAATGGTGAAATATTTGGTTTTAGTGTGCCTCGCACGAATAAATTTTCAGAAGTTTCAGCTTCTAAGCTGCAAGTCATAGCTTAAGCGAGATAAACTTGTATATTGCAAGGTTTTGGACATAGATCATTGTCAGTTATGATGTTTGCGGTAGCAGTTTCTGTCTTTTCTTACCACACGCTCAGTTACAGTCTGTGGAGCTTGCCTTGACCTATATTTGATAACTGTTCGAAGTTACTGTTCAATTCTATCCAAAACTCAAAATGCTGTTAAGCTGAGCATGCAGTCTCGGGAGCCTGATCCTTGTAACGGATGACTCAGAATCATGAGACCTTGACTGCTCACAGATTGAACTTCTAACTGGTGCAGCTGAATCTGGGGGTATTGGCTAAGAGGTCTTCCAGATTGTTTAACTAAGAGCTAAGCAGGCTGCAGCTTGAATATAATGTCAAGGGAGGAAAGATGTTATCATTAATTGACTTCAGCCCGGGGAGGTTTTCAGGCTGCCTCATACGGTTAGTGTTCAGAATTGCCTGGCGTTTCTGAGAATGATAAATGGTCGCAAGAAGCCTTGCATTGAGGACAGGGTAACTTGCTCTTAGCCGCAGTCTCACAGGCAAAGAAAATTAAGTAGCTGCCTTTGGCAATTACCAGGAAACCTCATCATGGTTAGGTTATCCTAATTTTGTGAAAACAGACCACTGGCTGCTTCTGTTAAAAACAGAGAAAGACTCAGGCAACTGGTCTCTGTTTTTAACAGAGAAAGCTGATGAGCAAACTAGAGTGTACGAAATGGCAAACCATCTAGAACCAGCCAGCAAGGGAAACTTCGGAAAAGGCACAAGGAAAAGTAGGGACCCGGAGCCTCATGTAATACTACACGCATTTGGAACACTTGAGGCTGTTTTTGCTAAGACTGAGTGGTTTATACATAAAGCTGCCTTGAAACAACAAGTTTTGCATTACGGAGTGTTAAAGGTAGGGGTAGGTAAAGGTTCAGGTATGCTCCTTTGTGCTGCCTAAAGCGTGACTCTGCAGGGCTGGGAAAAATGCCATTAGACAATACAGAATCACAGAATTTCTAGGTTGGAAGAGACCTCAAGATCATCGAGTCCAACCTCTGACCTAAGACAAGAAGCCTTCCTTTTTAAGAGGACAATTGGAGATGGTGATAAAGATGTAGAGGTTGAAGAAAAGGGTAGTGAATGGTGAAGAATACCAGTTGCAGTATGGAAGGTTAGGTGAAAAGAAGTGGGGAAAGGCAGAACCGTCTAGTTGGTGGGTTTTTGTGCTTGAATGGAGCAGGAGGCTTTGCTTCCCCTGTGTGGCTCTGTGATGGGAGGGAAGGCTGTGCCTGTCAGCACAGGTGCCGTGCAGCCTTCGCTAGATCAGATGTTTCAAAATGCAGTAGAATTACTTCTTGAGCCACCTCACTGTTGCATCAGTTCAGCGTGGGTCTTGCAGCTGTAACAAAAGCAAGATTTGTTTAGAGAGAGCTCGAGGCCTGGGAGAAGTTTTAATTCTGTGGGGCCTGGGGCTTCGGTGGCACTTTGTGTTACAGGCAGTGAGTATGAAAGGCCAGCCTTCTGAGAAGGAAGGGCTTTTGCTAATGCAAATCTTCGGTCTTACCCTGATAACTTACCCAGTGAGCTGATAGCTGACTGAAATGTAAGGGGCTGTGTGTTACAGTTGATCAGACAAGATGATTAATCCTGGTTTTGAAACATAAACTGTACATATGCCTATTTCTTCATTTATGTTGTATCCTGGGCTTCGTTTCTTTCCTCAGGTGCAGCACTACATGCCCCCTCATGTATTTGTTCTGTGATGACCTCTCCAACGAACATAAACCTGGTGACAGAACAAAGCCAAACCATCTCATGAAAAAATAGCACACATTCTTTCCTCTTCCTTTTTTTTTTTTTCTATGTAGGAACCATCATTCCTCTGAGAGGGATCCGTAAATGGAGGGGGATGAGAAAGCTGTTCCTTATTGAGACAGGTTTTATTTGGTGGTTGGGTGGAGAGCAAATTGCTCTTAAGTTTTCAGAGAAAATGCAATGAATGAGGAGAGGTTGGCAGCCCCAGAGGGCACTGAGAACTTGGGATATTCCTCACCTGGGTAACTGAGCAGGTAAAAAGGTAAAACAGTGAGGGCCATTGCTTGGTCTTAGGACATCAGTCTGAACGCATCCTGGTTTTTGTTCTTAGCAGCGCTTTGCAAAAGTGCAAAGTGTAGTGTATATATGACACACCTCCAGGTGTGTTACCTCTCTCATATAGTAACTGTTGTATGGTTATCATCTTCAGAATGGGTGATAAAGCATTGCTACCCACTTCTGTTTTCCTTTTCCTCTGTTGAATCAGCCCTCGTGCTCCTGTTCTGAAAAAGGTCAGGCTATTTTTTTTTTTTTAAATAATACTTCTGCATTTTTCATGATCTTTGGGTCGTTTATACAATGCAGCACTTTCCAAGAAGGATGGTAATGATGTCAAAAGAATTTTGGAGTGTCTACTGTCCTAAGAACTCTTGCCTTCTATTAACCTCTGGCTGGTGGGAATGCCTATCAGCATCTCTTGGTTTAGGATCGGTCTTTAGAAATGGAAACTCAGCCGGGAACAGGCCAGTGTTTTGGGACAGGTCAGGGTGTTCAGAAGCAGTGCGTTATAAAAGTGCTGTGAAAGAGGTTTTTTCCCTGCTTAAAGAGCTGGACTGTAAAAGTAAGTTACCGAAACGGTGTGTTTCTGTTGTGTTTGACTTTGCTTTTAATTTGCTTTTAATTTCTTCCTATGGCCCACTAGATGGCACCAAGTGAAAGCACACTGCTGGCTGGAAAATCATCCTTGGGGCTTCACTCCTATCGCTGCTTTTAAAAGCCTTCAGACCGTGCTGTCACCTGAAACACAGATAATGTACTCTGTGTCACAGAGGCATCTCAGTTCTATTTTAACCTCAGTTTAAGTCAATTTGTTGGTCAGAGCAGAAAGTGTAAATAAAATGCCCCTGTACACAGCACCAATGTAATGCCTTTTTTTTTTTTTAACCAAAGCTTTACATTGTGAGAGTTTATAGGATTTACCTGCAGAAGGGATGCTGAATTCAAACCTCTTGCTCTAAGACCATTATTCTGTGAGATGTAATTGTTACTGTTTTACACGTGGGTTTACGAAGCTTTTTTTAATGATTATTTGAATTATTTCTATACAGTGACAGATTTTGGGGGAAGATAAGTGTCTGTTGGATTCATTGACCTTACAAGATCAAAATGATGAAGTGTGAAATACTGTTTTTACTACCCTAAGAACAATGGAAGGCCCATTTCATGGTGGGGGAAAAACAAAAGAATATTTATGAGAAATATAAGCAGGAATTCTCAGGATATTTGGTTTCCTTCTCCCTTAACAAGTTTTCAAAACTCAGAAAACATAAAAACAGAAAAAAAAAATTTTTTTTTCTGTTTTTTTTTCTTTTTTTTTTTTTTTTAAGTGTTTTCTTCTAATGCAGCTATAAGATGTCCCCATGACATAGACGTAACTTCTGAAAGCTGTGTTTGGAAGCTCAATTATATCTCAGTGAAATATAAGCAAACTACCAATCTAGATTAACATTTGACGAGTCCAGGAGGGTAACTTCTTGAAAGGTAGATTGAGGCAGTCCAGAATGGAAGGTAGGGTTTCAGTTCTAATTTTAGTTTTTGATTCTGTGGTTTGAAGAAAAAGTCATTTAAGTTTTCTGTGTGATGTCAATATGGCAGGGCTGCTGAGGCTCTGAGATGTCTCTGAAAAAAATCATCACAAATTTGAATTAGTAAATGTGTTTTATGTCTCTGACAAGATCTTTGAAATATGCCTTGAAAATTGTGTAATTTTGTGTAACCTTTGCAGTGTCCCTTCTTCTTTTTCTCATCACCTCTTTGCTCTGGTACAAAGTTTACTTACCGTGTCTGCCACTGATCATTATAAAAAAAAAAATTACTGTTTTTTTTGAGCTCCAAAATACATACTTGATATGTCATGTGATTGGCTTTCCATAGATGTGTAAAAAAAATTCTATTTGATTTTCAGGATTGCTGAAGGAATTACTTGGAATAGATTTGGGGCTGTAACAAAAATGTTCTGCTTAGAGAATCTTTCTTCTTTGACCTGACACAGTATTCAACATGCAATCTCGGGAGTCAGAAGCTCACACAACTCTTCCTCTGGTTATTCCTTCGTTGCTCTATTTATACCTCAGCAAAAGGAAGGTGATAATCTGCAGGGGTATTTTTAGGAGTTGTGTGGATGGCTAGCCAGTGGATGTCTGTTTCTGCGTGGTGCACCAGCCTCCTGCTGTCAGGAGGATAGCACAGCCCATGTGTTTTTTTTTTCCAGGCATACAATATTTGCAAGCAACACCTCGTCCCTGCAGATCACGCAGTTGGCCAACTCCACCACCAGGCAGGACCGATTCGGTGGCCTCCATTTCTTCAATCCCGTGCCGATGATGAAGCTCGTGGAGGTAAGGCTCTTACACCATCTTAATTACAACCACGTAGTAATCACAGCAGCGTGGTTGTTATCACTGGGAATTCAGTCTGGTGAAAGGGTCAGTGTGGGTTTGCAGCTCCTCTGATGCAGAACGAGCCATCTCTGGTGACGGTCTGTCAAGGGGCAGGTTGACCACGGAGGTTACTCCTGCCTCCAGGCTCCAAAGTTCCCTGGTGAGCTGCCAGCCGACGTGCCCTTTACAGTGACTGTTTCAGTCCCGCAGGCTAGCTGATTAATAAGAACTATTGGCAGCCGAAACAAAACCATCCAATGACTGACAGAGGGATTTGATTATTAACAGTCTGGGCTTGATAGGAGGTGATGTGCAGAGGAACTCGTACTGCCTTGTGACTTTTGAGACGCAAAGTAAGTTGTGTTTATTCAGTCTTCCAGATGATTTGTCTGGAAGGTTGAAGCTGCGTGTCTTAACATTAACATTAGAGGTCCTTAAAGGTTGGGAAATATGTGAAGAGCAGCCTTTACTAAGTCTTCAGAAGTTTTTCTAAGTATACTCTCCTTGGCTACATCTTGCACCTTCTAATAATATTGAATCACAGAATCACAGAATTTCTAGGTTGGAAGAGACCTCAAGATCATCAAGTCCAACCTCTAACCTAACACTAACAGTCCCCACTAAACCATATCCCTAAGCTCTACATCTAAACGTCTTTTAAAGACTTCCAGGGATGGAAATGCAGAGCAGAATAAGAAACAATCTGATATAAGGGTCTGAGTCTCCAAAGTAAAGACATCATTGCAGTACAACTGCCAGGGCTTTCTTCCTCTGCCTGTTCTCCTCCCACTCCCCCCCAAAAATAAGAAAAAAAAAAGAAAAAGGGCACCTTAAGGTGGCTGTGCAATAGCACAGGAGATGAGCTAAACTACAAAAGAATGTGCATGTCTGGAGATCGTGTGATTGTTACAGCTCATCTTGGTTGGCTACAGTTTACAAGACCTTAAGTGAAGATGAACGTTGTGTCTTGGCCAGCTTGCCACAAAATTTCACATACTTCTTGCACTTAAATGCTGTAAATCTTTTTCCTCTGTCCCGTAAGTGATTAATTCTAGTAGTGCTTTGGTGACAAACACTCTGAATAAGTTGTGCCTTGCTTTGCAACTCCTGAATTTCACTTGTTTCACATTAAAATACATGCCATGCACTTCCTTGCTCTGTGTCTTTGACTGCATCCCCCCCCAAAAAAAAATGTTTGAACCTTTTAGCTGAAACGGACAAATGTGATTCAGAGTACAGTCATCTGGCAAGGACTCAACCACTTGCAAATTCCCTTTCCCGAACTTCTGTACCCATGTGAAATGTTTTAGTTTAATCTCTGTATTGTGATTAAATGGTCTGGGGAAATGTAAGGAGGAAAGGGAGAAATTTTATAGGTGGTGTCAGAGATGACAGAAATCTTAGCGTAGTTCCTTAGGCTGGCACGGGCTGTACTGGTTTCTGTACTAAGAACTACTTGTCTCCAGTAATTTATTTGTGAGGTTGAAATGTCCAGTGCCTTGTCTTGAGCCTAAAACGAATGATAGACTTTAGATATCTGAACTAAACTTCTGCGAGGTTTGAAAACTACTGAGGATTATCTATCAGTATTCATAAAAAAGACAAAACAGAGCAACCCCTTTATGACTGCTGTGGGCAACATTGTAATTGGTGTTTTTTTCACCAGATTTATGAATGCCCTTGCCCAAAGTCACTCCGCTTTGAAGGTCTTTAGAACACAAAAGCTGTGCTTATTATTAATTAATAAATAAATATGCTTTTTAAAGGGTTTGCTTTTGTTTCAGATCTGCTGCTCTAAATCAGGACTGGCATTGAAGAACACTGTATAACATCTTCTATGCAAAACAGTTGTTTCCATTTGAAATAAAGGGGTAAAAAATTAAGGGAATTGCCCTAACTGTAAAAGATATTACTGAAATTGTCAGGCATCTGTCATGGAAGCTGTCTTCCATACCTGTCACAACTCTGCAGTAGCTTTGCATCTTATCTGCGATTTCCATAGATTGTTGATCTTGTGCTCAGAAGAGCATAGCTATGAGAGGACTTCTTTCTCTAATAATTCAAAAGACTGGTGATAATGTTTAAAAACTCTCAAGTGTGTACTAAAAACTCGTTCTTGAAACTGTCACAGTCTTACATAAATATTTTGGAGATTTTTATCTAATAATGAAGTTAAAAAAACACTCTTTTTTCTGCCAAAAAATAAGCCTTCTCCTCAGTCCTAACAATGTTGTTTTTTTGTGTGTTGGCCTTATCATCAGTTATTAGGGTGTCTGGGGCATGGAAATCTGAGTGACTTAAGATCGTATGAATAAAGAGGTCAGCATTAACCGCTTACACGTAGCAGCTTTCAGTTACCACCCATGAAGGCCAGTTTCAACACAAATATTGCAACCAGTTCAGCTTCTGCAAGTCATTCTGTGTGTGGTGGGGGGTAGGTCGCTAATAAAGAACAAATACAGTGTAATAAATAACACACTGCATCCCAACTCCAGGGGAGTCGAGAAAATACTACATGTGACAAAAGAAGAAGACTCATTTGTGAAGAAATTCAACATGGGAATATACTAAAAAGCTAAGAGGCATGTTGCATATCTGAAAGATTTTAAATTTTCTTTAGAATTACATGTCTGTCTCACGTTTACCATGGGCACAGAATAGATGTTTCATCGTTTATATCAGGTTTAATATGGTTTATTAATTTTATAATATGGTTTTCTAGAGTAGTGCCAGTGTGTTTCCCAAGACAGCAGAGACTACGTGGCTTTTAAAGCGGGTCTGTTATACTATTACCTCTACACAGGATTCTAAAAAGATAGACCTTTTTACCTATCTCAAGGAAACATAACTTGAGAACATGTAAAACACAATATACTTGTCTTTAAAATAGACTTCTGTGTCTGTTATATATATATCTACTACTTTTTTCTTTTTTTCAAAACAAATGTCATATGAATTTCTGTAAGTGTTCTGAAATTTGGTTTAATCATCTCTGTGTTGGGAAATTCTGCTCAGAAATGTGCTTATCTCTCCCTTCCTTCCTGTTTTCCAGGTCATCAAGACTCCAATGACTAGCCAAAAGACTTTTGAGTCACTTATGGACTTCAGCAAAGCGGTAGGAAAAAGTCCTGTCAGTTGTAAGGTGAGTATAGTTTGGATTGTACAACAGTCCAGAAAACTTGTTTTCCTTGAAAACTTAGTATTAAGAAAGTGGTTTTCAGGAGATTAGAAGAGCATTTCTGGAATTTCCAGGCAATTTTTTTTCCAGATTCACTTCCATATTAAAAACATTTTGACAAAGAAAATACCCACATTTACCACAAATTCCTCAAAGTATAGGGACTCTAGATATCTTCTGAAAAGCAGCAAAACTTACAAGGTCAGAGCATACCCCTCTGTTTTGCCTTTTCCAGTCCTGGGCTGAAAAGCTTGCACAGGAGCTTATCTTTAGCTATGTTAAAGGCAAGACTGCTACCTCTTGTACCGTGAAGCTGTTGGATGCGTCCTCCATGGTGTGTGCTCATCACAAGATTTTCTTAAGTACTGCAGTAACTACGCCCATATTAATCTTCATGGTTTCGCAGTTGTTTTTTTTTTTCCAGAGGAACGCCCCGCGTCCTAAGCACACTTTTTCCAAATCCATTAAGCTGTGGTCTGGGAAGCTTTGTGCAAGCTATTGCCTAAAGTTTCACAACCCTCAGGAGACTTTTGGTCATAAAAAGAAGGGCCTGCGATCTGGTGGTTACCAGTAATTCAGCATCTGAATGCTGCACTCAGATTTTGGCTGTGCTGCTACATTGCTGTGTGGCCTTAGGTGACTTCTTTTTCCTGTTTCTGTCACAGTTTTCCAGGGTGGAATGTGGCAAATATACGATTCGATATTGTTGATAAATCAGCTTGGTTAGAGGGTAATGCAGAAATAATGGTCAGTCTCCATGTTTGATTTTTTTTTTCCTGTTTGCAGAAGAAATTGCAATTGTTTGCTTGAAATTCTCTGGTTTAAATACTGAGATGAAATGGAACAGATCAATAAAGACCTGAAACAGTTGTAGTAATATTTGAAATAATACTGTATTTGCAAAGCTCTTTCTCTTTTCTTTATATTTTTGACTTTGATTATAGCTTGGTTTAGCAGTGAGCAGTGGGGGAGAGGTAGAACGTTGAGCCAGGAACTCCAGTAGTGAACAACACACACACAGAGAAACTCTTCATATCCTTCAGGAAATTGTGTCAGCAGAATTTTGCTAAAGAGAAGGCATTTTCCAATGGGTCACATTACATCGTTTTAAGATTGATGAGTTGGACTTGTAGTAGTCTTAATTGCTCTTAATCATGATGAATGTTTGTGTGCCATGCCTGGTTTGTGAAACTCATCTTTTGTGTTTGAATAGCGAGCAGATAAATCAGATGAAAATACAGTTCAGAGCACACCAGAAGTTGATGATTCAATAAGTGTCTTCATCCACTTGTTTAATTTATGTGTTGTCTGAGTGTAGTAGTTATGAATGTTTATTTAGAATCCCTTTTTGTTTCTTTTGTTATTTTCATAGGACACTCCTGGCTTCATTGTAAACCGTCTCTTGGTGCCGTATATGATGGAAGCTGTTCGACTTTTTGAGAGAGGTACTTGCTGGGTTATTGACTTCAGGGGATGCTGGCATCATACTGTGCTGCGAAGTGTTAAATCCATTCAGAAAGGTGTTGTGATTCCCTTAAAACCTTCACGCCTTAAAGGCTGGAGGTGGGTCATGCACATCAGGCATGAACCAGTTTGTGTAGCTGGAAAGCACTTGTCTTCCCTTTGAAACGCCAGGGCATGCAGAGTGGGAAGTTACTGATTACCTGTATGGGAAACTCCTGCTGGTGGAAAATGTTTCTGGTTTGGAAAGGTGAGTGTGGTACCGCTGTAAAAATAGCCTCTGCCAGCTGAGCAGGAACCCTCTTCTCTGCAGCCCAAGAGGCCGTTATGAAAATTCCTAAAAATCCCATTGTGGGAGACCATTAGGAAAGTTCTTCTGAGGTTCCATACTGTGGGCTTTCTACCTGAAAACACCAATATTCAGATAGAATAAGCTACAAGTACTCAGTATCATACTACAGTACTGGCATACAAGTGATTTGGGCTCAACCTTTGCTCTGTAAAACCTCCTGCTCCTCTTCTAGGTCCTTTTTAAAGCATACCTTCCTTAGGACCTCCCATCTTAGTTTTGGTCTTTTTGACATTGATGCTGAGGGCAGGTGGAAGTAATCAGGAGTTCCTAAAGAGCCATACAACTTTGAAAGCACTGCTAATTGTTTTGAAAAGGAAACAAGCCAATAATGTGAGTGGTTAAAGAGGAAATTTTGAGTATAATTGCTTTTATTTCAAGTGTTCTGCTTGTAGCTGCGTGCTACTGAAAAATGTCATTTGAAACATTTTGTTTTTGAAAGCACCCCTTTTTACAGATGAAAGCATCGCATTATCAGGATTCCACCAAATATGCTTTAAATATTAAAAATCTGTTTTATAGCACACGGAAGGGATGGTTTGATCTCCAGAAACAAATATAAACCAGCACTGCTTGTTTATCTATCAACAGATGTACCTAATTACATCTCAAACAGAGAGAAGAGCAGATTTTAGTGACTGGAAAAACAAAGGCTTGAATGCAAAGGGACATTATTCTTTTAGAAAAAGTCACAGTTTTAAATAGTGCATGGGTGTTGTAATGTGTGTAAAAGGGGCGCCTTTGGTGAGTGGCATCTGTCATTATATATATTTCAGGAGATGAGGGAACTTTTAATTAAATGTAGAAGAAAACAGTCACTGAGATTGTGCGTTAAAATTGAGGGCTCTCTGCCTAGGCAAAACAGTATTTTGATTTCATCTTTATTCTGTTTGTGTTTTGTTCAACAGCATGATATTTCCAAACTTCTTAAAGTCCACTTATGAATTTTTAACTCTGAAGGCATTGATGTAAAAACCTGATTAATGTTTTGAAATGCCTGATGCTTGTCTTCTGATTCATACTTCTTACTGAATCGTGTTAAATTTTTATCACACCTTTTGCATTAATTCTTAGAGCAGACACTTGAACCAGATTGTCAGCCACAGTCGTAAGGAATTTGGGTCTCTTCCCTGGCAACCACAGGCACTGAAATACCATTTTATTGGTCAGTCCTTCATTCTTTACTTATGCAAAGTCTCTGTGGGTTAAGTGGGGAAGGACTTCCATACTTTTACACAGCCAAAATCCCTGTAGTATATCAACAGTAATTTAAACAGAGGCGCGTTGGAAATATTAGCAAGTGATGGTCTGTATTGCCTGGTCTGTGCTGTCAGGTAGCAAAGTGCCAATTCTGACAAAGTGGATTTAATCTGTCGATAGGAGAAGTAAGTACACCTGCATCAGCTCCAAATGAGCTGAAGGCTTCTGTGTATTTGAATACGGGGAACTTTTCTTGGAATTAAGTGAGGCTAATTTCCCAGCTGCTCAAAAATAAAAAGTTTTAAAAAAATAAAGAAAGAAAAATAAAAGAGTTGTTAGCTTTAAAGAACAAAAAGAGATACATGACATGAGCCAGCAGTGTGCGCTTACAGCCCAGAAGGCCAGCTGTGGATGCCCCATTTGCAGAGGGGTCCAAGAGGTCCCTTCTGACCCAAGCCATTCCATAATATAAAAAAAGTGTTACCTGTGGATGTGGCAGTAAGGGACATCACTTAGTGATGGGACTTGCTGGGTGAGTTTGATGGTTGGACTTGATCTCTTAAGGGTCTTTTCCAACCTAAATGATTCTATGATTTTGTACAAGACTATTTTATTCAAGTTGTTGCCTTTATGGGAAATTGCTGAAAAATCATTTCTAAGATTGTCTTATTCTGGGTGCATAAATTGCATTGGCTATGATCCTCTAAGATTCTGGATAGCCTGAACTGAGCATGGAGCATGCTTAAAAAAAACAACAACAGGTACCTGTTATCTTCATCTTTTCTTTTTTTTTTTTTTCCTTATAAGATCTGCAAAGAAGTACACTGCCTTTATCAAAAGACGTGGTAAAAATAAGCAGTAAAGGTGCATCTGCTTTCATGACAGTATAAACAGACATTCACAGCGAAAGAACAAGGTGAAGATTAACTGTGACAATTGAAAATCTGGATTCCTGTTTTTGTAGGCACAGACTGAAGTAGATGTTACAAATCATTTTGATTTTCTTTAATAATCTTGGAAATCAATAATTTTACTACAGCTGCGCAGTCTCTTCAGGTCATTGCTCCTCTCTGCCATCTCTGATAGCTATCCTCTGGTGAAAGTTGTTGAAATGGAGCACGTGAATCAGCTGCAGCCACTCCCCCGTTCCTGCCTTGTCCACCTGCAGGAGAAGCAGGTGGGAATGGGCACCTCCAGGTGCACAAGGCTGGCGTCTCAACAGAAAGCTGCATTTGCTAAAGCATGAACTGATGCAGCACGATGGAGCGTGCTGCCTGCCAGCTCACCTGGCTGTATCCCTGACCTCAGGAGCTGCTGTCAAAAGTAGTCGTTGTGTCCAGTATTAGACCTTGCCTTCTGACTGCATTAGAGGAAGGGCAGCTCTGTCCTGTGCCGGATCCCAAAGGTGTTGCTGACACCACAAAATTGAAATTGAGCCCTCTCCTTATAACATTCAGCTGCCTCTAAAAGAAGCTCTTGATTCTTCATGACTGATTCTTCCTCTAGTCTTTCTGTTAGGTTGAGCACAGTAGCTGCGGTTCCACCAAAAACATGGTAATCTATATTGAAATGCAAGAGGAAGATGAGAAAATAGAAAGCAGGCCTGCAGGTTTTTTTTTTTTTTTTTTGTGTGTGTGTGTGTGTGTGTGAGGGATTTAACTTTGTATTCCAGCGTGTATTTTTGTGTATGCTGACTCCAGGTTTTGTGGTTCTGAAACGTGCAGAGATTTTTGTGAAGAGCTGCACCAGTGCGAAATAACACCCTGTTAATTATTTATAGGTGGTGCCAAGCAGATGCAGAATCCTCTCTGTTCATCAAACTGTCAATCTTTTCTCTAGGAGACGCATCAAAGGAAGATATTGATGTTGCTATGAAGCTCGGGGCTGGCTATCCCATGGGGCCATTTGAACTCCTGGACTACGTTGGGTTGGATACCAGTAAATACATTATAGATGGTACTGCATGCTTATTTTCTTTTTCTTTTTTGCCCTTTTTAGATAAATTGTAGATGAATGTTGTAAGGAAAATCTGATTCCTAATTAGCTTAAGCTGCATGTTTAAACTAATTAGGAGTCATTATGGCCCAAGCCTTTTAACTGTAGAGGAGAAGGGGATGAGAATGCAGCTCAGCGTGCTACCTGAGCACAGCATTTGTACCGCACCCCAACTTATTGATGGGGACCTGACAGTGGTTGTTGTGCTTACTGCATCAAGTTCCTGTGGAAAATATTAATAATGTCAATGGGACTTTGTATAATTAAACAAGAGTCAGTGGGAAGAGTAACAGAGGTAAGATATTTTTATAAATAGCAACAAAAGCTGAGGCTCCCTACTGTTTTTTTGCCTGCCATGTTTTCATCCTCAGTTAATAGGGAACCAGTAAATAGTTTAAAGGGTGCAGGTGTCCCGTCTCCCTTTCACTTCAGTCAGTAAGCGGGTAAATGTCGGTATGACAGCAAAAGGAGGTGCAGTTGGTGACAGCTTGTTGATGGTCGTTGTCTTGTTTTGAATGAGCAGCGTAAATTCTCTAGGCAGAATATCACTTTCAAAACCAGATCTTCAGTGAAGTCCCTTCTGCTTTTAGGCAGCACTGTTGGGCAGTGCTACTTTGTTCTAGCTGACCGTACCTTTCACAGGTAGAAGTGAAACTTGGAAGTTCTTTCTCCTTGAATTTCTTTTCAGTCTAGCCTTTCTTTTATTTCCTTGTACTTTGCCTTTTGTTTTCTACTATTTTAAAAGTTCTCCTTAATGTTTTTTTAGGTATTAATAATCATCAGTTATGAAGATCAAGGGATTATAAAGTGTTCTGAGCAAACCACTCCTACGGAGTAACTGCTAGACTTGCATATAACTGACAAGGCCTGTGCTTTGGGAAGGGTGTACTGGAGGGTCCTGGAGAATCTAGAATAAGTTTCAAACCTTCTTCAGTTTGCTAAGCTCTTAATATTTGTCTAAAGAGATAGAGATCTCAGTTATCTTGACATGTAAACAGGAATATTTTTCATTCATCCTCTTCTTTTCTCCCACCAGGATGGCATGTGCTAGAGCCCAACAATCCTCTTTTTGCACCCAGCCCCCTTCTGGATAAACTGGTGGCAGAGAAGAAGCTGGGTAAGAAGACTGGAGAAGGATTCTACAAATACAAATGAACTCCAAACCTCGAGAGGTGTTAAACTATCTTTGTATTCAGCATTGCCAAACTACAGGTGAATTCTGTTTAAACCTTCCCAAGGACGGCACGAGCTGCGTTTAGAACATAACCCACCTCTGAAGAGTGATTGCACTAGTTACCTATTTCTCTGCTGAAAGCTTGATTTGGTAGATTATTTTTTCTTGTAATTCCGAAAAGCTTTATATGTACAGTGCCTTCATGCAGACGTTGATTTTTCAGGTGCAAGACAGAATGACAAGTGAATTTATGTATTCAAAGACGTTATATTAATGGGAAAAAAAATCCAAAAAATAACCACACTTTCTTAAAAATAAAATTTTCAACAATTCTTTATTGAACGCTGTGGCTTGCAGTTGATGTACGTGGTTGTAGCCCACTGGGTGGCAGTCTCTTTTCACTCTGGCAACGTAGTGGTGGAAAGGCAGCAAGCTGTTTCGTTAGGGTTTTCCTTAAGTGCAGCGCTAATCTGTAGGTATAAACAGTGCCTTGAACAGGCTTTTTGAATGTCGTATCGTTTAAAATAAAAATAAAATCCTGCAGTGGCAGGCTGTCACTTGCACCAAATGGTCCCAATGCCAGTGTTTAAAAGCAGAAATCATGATTTGTGTTGGGATTTTTTGGCATTTACAATTCCTGATCAAGGGCCTCCTTTTGCTAGATGCTGTAGAAACATACCGAAGAGGTGGCTCCTATTCTGAATAGCTTAGTAAGTAGAGTTGTTTTGTTCTGTTTAGGCTAGGAAGCTTGTGAAAGCTTCCGGATACTTTCTAGAGTCCTATAAATTGGCTTTACTTACTGGCACTTTATTTTAAGTGTCAGTTTTTCATGCACTACACTACTACTGTAGTTGAGTACTTTGGGGGATTGAAATTGGAGGCTGTGTTGTGTAAACAGATCGGTGTGGCAGCCACCTTCTGCTTTGCAGCTTTTTCCTTGGGGCTTAGCAAAGCCTGGATTTGTTCTTGGTAGGAGTGCTGGGAAGCGTGCCTTTTCTGCAGAGCCAGGTGGGCACGAAGGTTGGAGTTCCAGTTCAGCTGGGTCGTAGCCTTCTTTTACTCTGTCTTTTGGACCTGTAAACTGAGTGCATGTATATGTGATGATCTCCTGGGTGGGCAGTACATAGACTAGAACATGGGAGTTTATTTCTGCTCTCACCACTCAGCTCTTCCTGATTTTTTGTATTAATAGGGGAAAACCAGATTGTGGAAAAAAAATGAGGATAAAAAAAGAAGGAAACGGGTGTTTGGTTTCCCTCACGGCCTGCTTTTAAAACCTTTAGTCTTCCTTATCCTTTTTGTCAGCAGGCCTCACAGATTTAGAGCATTTGCCCCACTTCCATCAAAGCTTTGAGATGGATGCCTGGCACAGCTTGGGAGCAGCTTGACAGGCAACAGCTGAGGAGTCGGATGTGAGCCCAGCTACTGCAGCTGGGAAGATGGCTCCAGATTCAGCATCTGGGTCACGTCAGCTGCCAAACGTGCTCCATCTATGGTCATCCTTGCTGCTGGCACAGTTGGGGAGAAAATGGGAGCACAGCAAACTTTACAGAAAGGGCTGAAAGCGGAATCCTAGTTGGACTGGAGGAGAATGCTCTGCTTGAGGGACTTACGGAGTATAAAGTGCAAGAGGCAGCAGTAAAGTTGGATCCAAAGAGGAATTAAGCGTGGTTTAGAAGTTCAAATTTGGCTATGGTCTAAAAAATGAAATACTCTGCATTGATGGCACTGAGAACAGCACTACTTGTGCAGTGGGACAGCAGTGACAGATGCCTGTTTGCTGAGTGCAGACGTCCTGAAGTCTTAAATCCGAGTCTGTTTGCAAAAATCATTGAGCCCCTTCTCTTGCTGTAGAAGACTACTTTTATTAGAAGACACAAATATCTACTTTCAGTATGGATGTGAATGTGGAATAGACACTGTGGATGCCTGATAAGCTGGGTGGATCGCAGTAGAAATGATCACAGGTTGTTGCTTCCTCCATCCTCTGCTGGGGGGACTTGCAGAGAACATCACCTGGGTAAGAATTTAGTTGGGCAAACAGCACTGCCCAAGCATTTATTGTATGATAACTGTTTCCTGATATAGTTTAGCCCCCAGAAATGAGTAGCTGCCTTGAAGTGAGTCGCCCAGCTCTGTCCACGGGGGAGCTCTGTGAGCCGATGCCTCATTTTACACAGTAGGAAGAAGTGCTGACAGCAACTAGAGGAAACGACGTGGAAAGGTATCCTTTTTCCTTCCTAGACAAGTGGGATTTTTTCCCGGACCATCTGACCCAAGGGTTTTGGAGTGTCAATGCAAATGTCCTTCAGAAACCAGCTGTTACAAATGGCAGGCTGTTGACAGGCCTGGAGTTAACTCCAGCACCTAGCAGCGGATCTTCACCTCTGCCAGAGTCCGGAGTTCCAACAGTGAATCAGGCCTCTGCAAAACATGGGTAGTGGCTTGAAATCGAGATTCAGAGTTCTTGTTTTGTTTTCACTTATTTCTCAATGCCCTGTTTGGTTCTTCTCGCAATGTTTGTTCTGTGGTTAAGGCTCTTTTCCCACTTTCAGGTACCTCTGAAAGCTTGAGGTTTGTCAATCAACCTCTTCAGGAGCTATAAATTACTAGATGTTTATCAGGCTGGAGAAGAACAAGCAAAAATCTTTGCATGCAGCTAAGCGTAGAGATATAATTGTCAGGTCTGAATGATTCCTGTTTCTCTGTGCTTTTTGGAAGAGTTGAGAACAGCAACAAAAGCAGATGCTGTGAGTGCTTTTGAGAGCGAGATCTCTTCTGTTGTGTGTTCTTCTGTAGCTTTTCCTGTTGCTCATAGCCAGAGGGAAGTGGCATTTAGCCTTCTGCTGAATTTTGTTAGAGAAGGGTTAAGGGGAGGCACAATCTGGTAATTTAAAAAAATCATCAAAGATGATTTGTAGAAAGATCTCTGTTGATTTTGATGATATGCTCAAAAGTTCATGATAAAACTGAAATTCCCTTTTATGTACCATTTTCTTACCCACCATATTTCCCCATTTATAAATGCAGTGCTATGCAGAGTGTGAAATTAAACGTACGTGTTCACAGAATCTCAGGACGGTATGTAATGAGGTCTGGGGTTGTTCCTGATATTATATTAATCAGATTTAGGTTTTTATGCCCACAGAGCAGCTTTGCACTTGTTCAGTTTCTGCTTCTGTTTTACTCCCTTAGAGTTTTTCTGTTTTATTTTCTGTAGATTGCAAGTAACTCACAGCAATGCATTCTTTGCACAGAAGCCAGCACCATAAAGCTGTGGAAGCAGGCTGGATTTTTTTTTTTTTTTGGTTGCTTCTAGGGTAGGAACAATACAAAGCCCCAAACCTAGTTATTAAAGGATCCGTTTCTTTGCCCGTGCGGGTGCCTTTTTGCACAAGGCATTGAAATGAGGCATGATGCCAGGTTTTGTTTCCAGCCTTGGTCAGATGCTGTAGGTTGGCCAGGGCACAGGAGGATATTTTAGCATGAGGCTTTTGCTTGGCGGGCACTAAGGAACTTGTCGCTTACTTTGGCTGTTTCAGGCTGCCAGATAACAGGATTTTTTCCGAGCCTGTTGTTCACTGCTGCTTTGTTTGGTGCATCTCTGTCCTGCCTGGTAACAGCTTCTGCTATTCTGGTCCCGTTTTCCTGCCAGCAACCACTTCTAGGGTGGTTTTCTGTAAATGCACAAACCCTTACAGTATTTGCTAGTTAAAGAATGCAACATTTTTTGTCATTAGTAACCTAAACCCCCCATTTGGAGTCTTGGCTTCGGCAACAAAAATCTTGTGGATTAACCACTTTCACCAGCAAGAGGCTTTCTGATGAGCTGTGGGAAGATGTGTATGCTTGGCGGTAGGTCCCCAGTAAACAGCTGGAATTTGCATGTGGCGAATTAGCACCAAGTAAACCCCCCCTCTTTTTTTTTTTTGCTTAATTATTCTTGCATCCTCAAATAAATCTATTAAATGTTTGTGCAACAGAAATTGGTAAAACCACACATTTACAATAAGTGGGTTCCTGATTGCGCGCAGACTGAGATTTGTCTGCTCTGCTGCTGGCAGGGTCTGTGCAAGTAACGTAAGGATCTGTGACCTGCGGAAGGGAGTGATCTGTTCCCCGACTCCTCCTCCCCATGCAGTGATGCCCTGAGCTGGATTGAAGCACTCCAGCCACTGGAAACACTTGCTTCTACTCTGAATCTTCAACTACTTTACATTAGCTTTGCGACCTGCTGTTTTGAATCCTACAAAGCCGCAAACATAAGCAGGTGTAAGATATACTGCACTTGTATTTCACAGGCCTTTCTAATTGTTGGCTTTCTCTAAAGAGCTTGTAAAAGGTAAAATGTTTCTGACACGTATTTCTCTGAAGATAACAGGAGGACTAATGGGTTCCTTTCAGCTGATGTTGCAGGTTTTTTGTCTTTGCAATTTAGGGTGAGATTTCTGAAAGCCTTTTGTGTCAGTTGGAAGCCCAGCGATGTTTTCGAGAATGTCTAAGCAGGTGAGGCATCCAGTTTCCAGTGATTTTTCTTTTGAGCACTGAAATGTCTCTCAGAACTTCAAGAAGTATTTATTTAAGAGTCTGATTTTGGGGGTCTTGGTTTTATTTAAATCTTGATCTTAATCCTCAAAAGAATGTGGAATCCTAGAACTGGCATGGATTTCTATGATGTTTGCCCACCCCACCCCTGCCCTAGTTGTTGAGAGAATGTAAAAGAAACCAGCAATTTTCAGCCTTTTCCTCCTCTGTTTGCTGCTTATCTACTTTCTTGAACAGTCAGTTACAGGAACAGAACTCCTCTCAGGCTTCTAATTAATAATTTCAGACAGTAGCAATCAGAACTTGCATCTAACAGTCAGAAAAAATGCTTCCTCCTGATTTCTTCACTTTCTTTTAAGCCAAAGAAACTCCTAATGGATTAAGTTCAGGATGCTATTATGAAGCATCAGAGGGAAAGCAGCGAAAGTTTAGCACACAAATAATGTTTTAAGTGCCTAAAAAAGTTTGTGTAGGTATTATTTGAAGAAAGAGTGTGGTAAAGTAAGCTACAAAGGGGTAGATGCTTCGCTGAGAGCTGATTTGCATGAGGCTGTTGGTTCTGAATCACAGTCTGGGTGCTTTTGGGGAAATGGCAGTGTCTGTGAAGAGAGATCTGTGATAAGCATTTAAACAGCTTACTTTAGGAGACAAGATACCGAAGTTAATTCCTTCAGCACTAGAGGTGAGGTTTTTTAAAGTGGTAAAAGTTCCTTTTAAAAATGAGAGATAATACGAGAATGGGGAAAAAGATGCTGTTACTTTCACAGAAGTGGTTTTCCTGATACCATCTCCTTTTT